CATGGTCGGCAGCCTTCTTTTCTGCCTCATAGGTCCATAAGTTCTGGAGGGGCAGGGACTCTTAACCACAGACTCCTGAAGCAGGGCTGGAAGCCGAGGATGGAGGAGCTTGACCGATGATTGCCTTCTACCCCCTCGACTGTTGAACCTCCCATTCCCCGCCCCCCACCCCACCCCAGCTGGCTTGGTCCTCCCGAGACCTTGAAGCCTGGTCTAATGCCATGCTGTGAGCCATGAGCTCACCTGGAAACACTGCTGACCCAAGACATCTATCTAGGCTGCTGTCGTTCCTGAATTGACTCTGACAAAAGCCGGGTAGCAAGGTGCCTTATGGGGCCAGGAATCCAGGCTTAGTGTTTATTGATGTCCAGCAAAATGTGACAGAGGCCTATTAAAGTGGGGTTTTTTTTTTTTTTTTTCCAATTCTGCAGGCGTGGCAGATGGTAATATTCAGCCTTGGAGAAAATGTCCAGTTGTGCTTTGGCGTAGGATTCTCTCTCCAGAAGGAGTCAGAAACGGTAGGATTTATCTCCTACGAGAACCAAAAGTGTGGGCCGGACGATTGGTTTAGCATTAACGATGGCTTTCATCAGGCACGAAGCTCTCCTTGGGCCTGGTGTAGATCTGTCCACGGCGCCACTTGGGGCCTTGTCTGGTCCTCAGTCAGGACAGGCATGAACGAGAAGACACGTGCCCCCCCAACAACTGCCACCCAGCATGGCAGCTCTTCTTCCGTTTGGCCAGGGAATGGGTGCTGAATTCATTGATCATGCTAGGAATCATTGAGCCCAGAATCTGCATCTAGAACTTACCTTGTGTCGTTCCCCATGAACATCAGGATGGGAATTTTCAGGGTAGCACAGACCATTCTAAATACCACCTATGCCGACTCATTTGTCAGCGTAACTACCTGGTATTTTTGCCAGAAGATAAAGGTAAAGATAAATCATAGCTGAGTTGCTCTTTTTCATTCCGGTGGTTATGAGGATGAACTTGCTATTTGTCTTGATACGCTGAAAGCCCTTCCAACACAATAAAAAGATGAGATTATTCACCTTGAAGCTGAGGCCTGCAGGGAGCCTTCAGTAAAGAGCAGTCGTGAATTAAACTTTGGCGGGGCAGCAGCCCTCTGGGAAGAGCCAGGGACCTCAGGGACCTTTTGTTTTCCTTTTTTTCTGAAACCGTATAGCCCAGGGAATGGGTTGAGACACTTGCTCCAAGTCCCTGGACAGATCAGACTTGCAGAGGTAAGGGGGCAGGAGGGTGCTGAATAAATTATAAGGCGATGGTCAGCTTGACCGTGAACTTTGCTTCGTTAGGCTATCAGTTCTGAAATAGGCAAGAAAGAACATGGGGACCAACGTGTCATGCAAGGGCTTTCACCTCCCCGTCCGGTTCCTTGCTAGCAGGCTCGGAATCTGTGAGGTCCAGCCCGAGGATCTTTCTAGCGCACCTCTCAGCGAGGCTCCTGCAGAGCCAGACGCTGCCCTCCGCTGGCCCGACCTGTCCCTTCTCATTTCAGGGAAACCCTTTTCTGATTCAGGTAGGGGAAGAGCAGGAGTCAAGGGGCTTCTCTTACTCCTGAGTTGTGGATTTTTGGTATTCCATTCTAGGACTTCATATACCTCTGTTCCCAGGAGCTGCTAGAGCACCGAGTGTTGGGAGAAAGGCTGTGAATTAAGTTAATATTTTTCTTATAAGAAATGGGAGTCTATTTTTCTATCAATATTATTACTATGTGATGAATGGAGTGTGCAGATGTTGAAATGGAAGGAGACTTCAAAACGATAAGCCTCGAAATGCGAAGTTTTGTCATTTGGAAGCAACTGAGACCCCATAAAAGTTTTATTACTTGTTTTCGAGCGTGAACAAGAAGACGGTGCTGTGAAGTATTAACCACACTCTCTAGGAGATGAATGTGATGGTCCTGGGGAGGCTAACGCAGTCCCCGACCTTACGGAAAATTCTTTTACAAAGCGTGTAAACGTGATAATGCTGATTAGTGAGCCTCTTACTGGAGCGGTATGGTTTTATAACCTGGCACTTTAATTCTTTTCTGGAGCCGGAATACAGGGGCAGTTGGATGAAACTGCACATTTAGAAACTAAGTGAGAATTTTCTCGTGCTTATAAATGATGATGGGGAAATAAAGCCCTTTAGAGTTATCCTAGAAGCTCAGCATAACATGGGCTATTAGCAGTAACATAACCTAAATTCAGAAAATTCACTTACTTACCACGGGTAGAAGGATAGGTGTGAATTACTTAGACGCTGGTTGTAGAATGCAGGTTTAGACTAACAATACATTTACTGTGCTTTTTTGAGGACAGGTGGGGAACACGGGGGTGGGTAGGTTAGGGCCTTAGAAATTAGCCAGGGATGATTCACAAAATGAAAAATCCACACAGTGGTCACTGAGTTAGCTGGTTGCAAATATATCTCATTGATGTTGGAGTGAAAACTTCCTTAGGCCAAATCAAGCAAAGATAAAAGCGGACAAAAATTTTGAAGGCGGCATCAGGGATAGTTTATATAGGGCGCCCACAAAGACCATCATTAGGAAGCTTGTAGATTCTGTGCTTTTGAACAGACTGGGTAGGAGACTCTAGGGGTGTAGAGGAAAGCAAAATTATCCCCCTATTTACCCAAGCTTGTTGGCTAAATTTTTTGTTACAGGTCCGGGACACAAACCTTTTCTGAAAAAGGAATAGTTGTAGCCTTGGAAAAATGGTTTTTCTATTTTTCCCCTGTTAGGATCAGCACAGCCTCCCTTTCGCCTTAAGTGTCAAACCCCTATTTTGATTAATTAATACCCCAGCATAAGAGTTAAAGCAATAAGAGACACAATCTATTTTTGTTTAAATTCTTTACCTCATAGTATGAAATTAGTAAGACAGTTGATGATTTTACCCTGAATACTGGTGCAGAGAGGTATGTTGTTCTGTTTCGAATGGGAAGAATTTTAATGGCCTAAAGAAAGCTGGGGTTAATCCTGAAGCTAGGAGTAAATGTTTACCTGATTTTGTTCTGTGGTACCAATAACATCTGTGTATATCTTCTCTGTATATATCTGAGCCAAGTTGTGGGCAGAGAGGTTGCTAGAACTCTATTTACAGAATACAGTTTTTACAATTAAAATTCACATTTTAACATGAGCATGTGTGCTGCTGTCCTTCCCTGGCCCGAGAGATGGGGTCTGTGTGGGAAGGAGGGGTGGCCCGGTATAGGAGCAGGACCGGAAGGCGGACCTCACAGTGACGCCGGAGCCCCCCACCCGGCGCGTCTGGTGCCTGTTCTCCGTAAACCACCTCCAGGTCCCAGGGAGCAGAGCCGGGCCTGACCGCGCCGTCCGGGAGAGCCAGCGCCACACGCACGCGGCCACACGCCCAAGTTTTAAGGCGGTACAGGGTGGATTGCTCACATCGCTGGCTCTTGTGTTCAAAGCCGGGTTCCTCCTTTCCAAGGTCCGTGACCAAGGTGTCTGACGTCCCCTACTTCCTCGGGATCAGGCAGAACGGAGGGAAGCCCTTGCGTGCGTAAAGAAAGTGCTAGCACGTCGTACCTACAGCTGTGTGCGTGGACCAGCCACGGCGCTCAGCACAGGGCTTGTATAGAAAACATCTGCTGGGCTTTCATTAGAAGTCATCCTAGCTTTTGAGTAAAGCCTTGCAAAAGGTTTGTGCATACAGGAGGTGGGGGGCCCGGGCTCTCCGCATCTCCACATTCGGGGCCGGGCTGACAAGGCGCTGAGCTGCACTGTGGCTGTGTCCTTCCCGTGGCCGCTGTGCGCCAGGTCCGTGGCAAAAACAAGGCCGTGACCGATAATGAAACCGTTGTTCTCACAGGAGCTAGCCTGAATCAAGAAAGCGAAATCCCCAGCAGGGATCACAGATTTCAAAAGGGATAAAAATACTGATCTCTTAAATACCCTTCCCTGATCCTACATCCCGTTATTTCACTGGGCGGATCAGAATCACTAAATAAACAGACGCGCCGGTCGCCAGCCGGTCAAGGACGAAGCCAGCCAGCTTCTGTGCTGGTCCTTTACAACCTATCAGAAATCCAAGATGGTTCAGGACTCCCCTGGCTCCTGGAGGAACGTTCCCTGCTCCCCTCTGTGGGCACCAGGGAGCGGGCGCTCCTTCTGCAGGTTTGCACCCACCTGTTTTTGGGCGGCGAAGCACAGCTTGTAACACCTCTGAATACAGAACTGAACAGGTAAGCCTGGTTGTGATCCTTCTTCATACGCTTTATAATCCTTTTAAGCACTGGTCTTCACTCTCCAAGGGATTGATGGGCGCGGGTATACGTACAGTCCGAAAACTGATTGGCCTGGGGCCAAGGCCTATGAGTTCTGCTTCCCGTTTCTCCCCTTCACCCCCATCCTCCCTCCTCATCCATTCTGGGCATTGCCCTCTGGAGTATGGAAACCTTGGGGGCAGCCAAACACAGGAAAATCCTGATGGTACTATTAAAAAATCAATGATTTAAGCCTGGCTTACAGATCCTTAGCAAATCAGGTACTTTCTAGTTCTCTGCTTTCAACAAACTAAAGGAAGAGCTAATCAAGCTACTAAGTTCAAAGAACTGGATGACGTTAGAATTCTTTGTCTCGTCTAATTTGGGTGCTTAGATCTATAAAAAAACGAAACAAGGACTATAAATGGTGTTGAGTCCTGTTTTAATCTTAGCTGTAAATAACGTTCTTGAACTCAAAGGGTTAGTTTTAATTATCAAAAATTCTCAGTATTTTCATCAGTTGTATTCCAGTAATTGTAACAGTTAATCCTGTACTCAGTTAACACTAAAAAATTTCCATTTATATTTTTTGTTGGCAAGAAAATAGGGCAAGTGATAAAATTTCAGGCCCGAAAATAGGTTACATTACGATAGCATTCTTTGCTGAAAGCAGAATGGAAATACCAAAGAACCTATTGGTTTATGTTTGTAAATGGAGAATAAGTATCAAATTGCTGTACATTTAAATTGCACCAAATGTGTTTAAAAGAGTGATATAACAGTTTTATTTTAAAATAATATTTACATGACACCAGGAAACACATACTTTGGCAACTCAAGTTGATATCTAGAAAGTGAGGGGATACATGATCTTTCAAAATGCTTTTAGGGGGTGCATGAGCATAATAGTGGGGGGTGTGCTTTACAACGCTGAACAGGTGAGGTTGGGGGACCTCGGAATAGAAGCACCTGGGGGAGGGTGCCTGCTTTTTTAAAAAATGCAGATTCCTGGGCCCCAGCCTGAGTGACCAGGAAAGGGGTGGGCCCCAAGCCCGTCAGTTTTCAACATGCACCCCAGGTGGTTCTCATGCAAACCCATAGTTAAGCACTACTTTAAAAAAAATAATACAAACTAGCCAGTTACAGTTTTTCAGCCGTGGCTGAAGAGGGAAACACCTGCCCTGTTTTCGGATTGAGGGAAGAACTTTAACAAGCTTAATTCGAATCTGAGCTCGGAAAGTAGCAGCACCCATGGAGAAGCCGAGAAAAAGGAGAGGAGCGGGGCAGGCAGGCACCGGCACCCGTCAAGTCCCAGGAGCAAGGCGGGGAAGGCCCCGACGGTGGCTGCACGTGTGGGGGGACGACCGAGGTCGGGCCCTTTCCCAGCGGGGGGCGGGGAGGGTTCTCTGGGGGGGGGGCGGCGCCGCGCCACCGCGGAGAAGGGAGCGAGGCGCACAGCCAAGGCTGAGCATGCGCTAGCGGGAGGCTCGGAGGGCGGGGCGGGGCGGGGCGGGGCGGGGGGGGGGAAGCGCTGCGAGGGCAGGGTACTTGCCATGGAGGTGCCCTGGGGTCCTGTGACAACACTGCGGGGACAGGGGAGGCTTCGGTTCCCTCGTGGTCCCATCTGAGGCCTAAAGTGCAGCGTGGGGGTGGCCGGCTCCCCCGACGGCTCACGGGGCCGTGCTGGGCAGCAGTTGTCCCCTCTTCCTGGGATCGCAGAAGAACTGCAGCTTCCTGGGGAGCAGCTTCACCTCCACGGGCATGGCCTCGTACTCCTCACTGTCGATGCTGAAGGAGCCCCCCGTTCCCTGTGGAGAAGGGGAGAGGTGGGTCTGGCACCTCTGCAGCAGGAGCCGCTCACCACGGAGCGCAGCATCCTCTCCGAGGACGTATCCGGAGACGGGCACGGGGCTGCTGCTGGAAATCTCCCAATTCTGCCATCCGCTTCTTGTCGCGGGGGGCGGGCTTCTATCACCTCCCAGAGTATTTTGGGATTTGAGAAACAAGGCCGGAATTTAAAAATATTTTACTAGGATACAGGGGTCCTGCCGCACCTTCCAGGAATTAATTAACATACAATGTTATAGGACCTTGCCGGCCCTCATCTTAGGAAAGCTGTGATGTCCACTGGATTATTTTCATGGTTCTTCTTTAGGACATAATTAGCTTTATCCCTCAAGTACAGCAGCATTAATGTTACAGATTCTATAAAACCTTCCATAATTCATGCATTTAGTTCAACATTTGCTATGCTGAAACTACAGGGCCACCCACTCTGGGGGATAGCGTCTGTTTTACCTACAGTCCTTTCTGAATACCGTAGGGTAACGGTCCCGAGTCTGCAGAGGCCATCTGTGGTAACTCTCCTGAGGCATAACTCCTAGAATAACTATAGAATTTAGATTATATTCCTAACGTTTTCCCCTCTTATATAGGTTATTCTAAGCTTGGCATTTTATAATACAGGAAACCTCAGTGCCATCCCAAAAACGGTTTCCAGATCCTGTATTTAAAAAAAAAAAAAAAAAGGATCCACGATGAGTATCTGCCAACTAGAGAATTCTCTGTGTCTTACAACACGGTAACCTCTGCATAATGTACATTCAGAAAAATAAAGGCTCAGGAGATATAAAGATCACATTACAGAACCGTGGCTTACAAATGCTGGAGGTCTTCAGGAGTCCCCCGCTCAGCCCTGGACTCAGAAGGGGATCCTCTCATCTCTTCAAGTATCCCTGAACATCACCCAGAGCCTGGCCAAGTGTTCAGCCCATACCAGGCGCCTAGACATGAGGGTCTGTTCACAGAAAGGAAGACCGACCAAGAACGAACCCGAAGCTGTGGGACGGGAGCCCCACTTACCTCGGGAAGCAGCAGAGTGCACTGGCTGGCCTGGAGACACTCGGTACCGGCCACACGCAGCTCGGGGTCCCTCACCTTTTTGCTTCTGTTGGTACAGGAAAAAGCACATTTGGACACCAGGGCGGGCAACTGCATTCCAATCACGAGAGCACAGCCCGTTCTTTTGTTGAGCTTAAACAGATGGACTCATGCTATGCTGAACCTTGGGTTTTGTGAATAACTTTCCCACAATGATTCTTGCTCAGCAGTGTGATATATTCTAGATTGAGGAGGTTAACTTGCTGTAGAGAACTGTGTGTGAAGTTAAGACTGAGTGATTTTGTACCTAATTCTTGGGCTATTAAAAATCCTTTTAAAAATTAGAATGAACATTTTTTTAGAGAAAGTACTAAACTTGTGTTATTTGGTACTTGTGAGCCTATCGTTACTTGAAGGAGAAAACATTTATTCTAAAGCAGACATTTCTTTTACATATTACATATGCACAACCAGTTCTTGCTGATTTTCTATATTCATATTAACAGTCCACTTAGCATACTACTGTCTTTACCTTGGAGTAAAACTATCAGTCTACACACACACTCTCTCTCTCTCTCTCTCTCTCTCTCTCTCTCTCTCTCTCTCTCTCTCATGCACATATATCCTTGGGAGCCAGTCGTGGTCAGTGGAAAGAGTAAAAGCTAATCCAAGTAAATTAGTCCATTCTTTAGCATTAAATGATAACGTTAATTCTTTAGCATATGAAGCTTCAGAGTTTTCTAGAGCAACCTCACAATGTTCTATTCCAGTACCCAGAGGAAACAGACATTACTCAATCTCACTTCCTGTAGAGACCAAAGGAAACCAAGTTTCTGCTGCTGAAGATGACAGCAGTGATGCAGAACATGAGGACTCACCTACATTAAGCAACATAATCGGTTTTTCTTTCTATTTTTGGATGACAGTATTATGAAGGAAATTTGAGTACAGCTGGCCCTGTGGGCCAGACTGTCAATTAAGACAGTGTGAGACTTCAGGACACTCTGGAGGAGAAGGGAAAGGCTTTCCCTTTCTTCCTTCTGCTACAGATACAGCAAGGAAATCAAAGGCTGCAGAATCAGCTATTCAGCAACTGAAGAATTTGTACCAAAGGCAAGAACAACGCAAACCAGTGAAAGACAGTCTGCTGCCCGTGCTGGTGCAGATAATTGGAGTAGCCATGGAGACCACGCGGCCACACCAGAAATGTCTGCTCCTTCCGTGGGCACAAGAGGGAGCTCTGAGACAAAGCACCAAACAACCTTGGCTGAGCAGATTACCAGTTGGCATGGCAACACGCGGGCTCCTAGGATGTGCTGAAGCCGGGTTGAGGGGGGGTTAGAGCATTCTTAACCAATAAAACACCGGCAGAGGTCGGGCTTAAGAAATCAGACAGGACCAGAGGATATTTTCTAGTGGAAAAGGGAAAAGCCTGGAGATTGTGCAAAGTACTCCATACCTTTTCAGGTTTTCCATTACTGCCCTGCAGGCGGGGCAAGGGGGCCTGACCTGAACAGTAAACGATAGAAGTGCTTCACCGCGGAAAACACTTGGCCACACATCCTCTCATTTGAGACTCAAAAACAACCCTGAGGTAGTTAGGTGTGATTACAGTATTCCATTTCATACACAGAGAAGTTAAAGGATCTGTCCAAGTCATGAGGCCAGGATGTGGCAGAACGGAGATCTGTAGCCAGAGTTCTGGACGCTGGGCCAGGCGCCCATGAATCCTTACTCTCACTGGAAAGGCAGCTTGCCCCCACACTCGGGTTTTCCCCAAACGAACAAGAAAAGCCAAAGAAGGAGAAGAGGGGCATTCTACCTGTCAACCCAAACACTTGAAAGAAAGAAAGGCTACATAGTCCCCAAACCACCCAAGTCCTCCGTTGCTCTCTCAGACTTCATGGGGATCCGGAATAGTACATGCTAGAATACGAACTACTTAACTCGCATTTCCTACAAACCCCAGCCCACTTACCCTATAGTTATGAAGTCTCCTTTGCTGACAGTGTCGGGTTCAATGCAGATGTTCATAAAGTCTTCTTTGCTCTGCAAGGTCAAAAAGACTAACATTAATACTCTACATTTTGGCTAATGCAGCCTGTTGTCCTCCTTTACCCTCAGAGGTTCATATTTTAAAGCTGTTTGTTATACAGAGACCTTTACTTTTAGTAACTTAATCTTGAGTATATTTCTTTCTTTTTTACATTAAGACCCTACTGAAGTATAATTTACATACCATAAAACTCATCACCTCATCACTGCTTGCTTGCTTGCTTGGTTTTTACTACCCAGATAAGCTAAACAAAAACTCAGGTTTGTCGGAACTCGGAGTGGAAGGTTTGCGAAGCCCCGACACTACTCGTCACAGCTGTGTGGTCTCCGGGGTTCCCTCCCCGAGGGGTCAAGTTCCAGCCCGTCTACCCCGGCCGGCCTCCATCCTAACAGTGCGTCAGCATCACACCACATCTGCTCCGTCAGCTTCTTGGTCTGCAGAGCCCAAGTATGTGCGGGTTTGTTGGTTTGTTTGGTTAAAGGTTTATTTACTTGAGAGAGAGAGCGCAAGTGAGGGGAGGGGCAGGGGAAGAGAATCTTCAAGCAGAGCCGCTGCTGAGCACAGAGCCTGACTCGGGGGGCTCAATCTCACAACCCACGAGATCAAGACCTGAGCTGAAACCAAGAGTCAGACGCTTAACAGACTGAGTCACCCAGGTGCCCCCCAAGTACGTGTTTTCAAATGTTCTACATGCAGTTTTGATATGCAACCAGAGTTGAAGAGCAGCAATCCATTTCTGCCATAGTAATATTTTAAAAACTTCTCATTACCGTCCACCAAAAGCTCTAGAAGAACTGAGCTACAAGGAAGTGGCCATAAAACCAAACCGGGTTCTTGGAGCACTCCCCCCAGTTTACCACCACTTAGTGGCTAGCAAGACAAACCTGGCTCTCTATAAATCAGAACCAATACTTCTGTGACTGCTTCAAATACAGGTACTGTTTCTGTTTGGACAGGTTCAAAAATCTGTAGCCCCAGGATAATCCATGAGCTGCTGAGAGCGGACAGCCTTTGCCGAAGAGTAAAGAGCACTACCAAAACACAGCTTTCTCTCTCAGCCCGGAATTACAGAACATACAGGGGATGACTTGGCTCTAAGTTCACCTTTTATGCAACAACTTACTGAGTGTCAACTACCATAAACTCTTCCAGGTGCTTGGGTTACATCAACGAAATAAAAAAAAAACCAAGTATTTCTGCTTACAAAGAATTTATCTTCTACTGGGAAAAGTGGAGGAAATAAACAAAAAAAATAATAAATAAATAAAATAAAATCTAATAATAGTTATAGAATATATTCGAAGCATGTTAGAATGTATCAGTACAAAAACAGTAAATTATATATAGAGAGAAACATGGTAAATTACGAAGTATATTAGAAAATAAGTATATTAGAAGTATATGAGAGTTTTGGGGCGCCTGGGTGGCTCAGTCGTTAAGCGTCTGCCTTCAGCTCATGATCCCAGGGTCCTGGGATCGAGGCCCGCATATCGGGCTCCCTGCTCAGCGGGAAGCCCGCTTCTCCCTCTCCCACTCCCCCTGCTTGTGTTCCCTTTCTTGCTATCTCTGTCAAATAAAATCTTAAAAAAAAAAAAAAAGCATATGAGAGTTTATTAGAAAAATGAGAGAAAAGAATACAGAAACACCAGATGGTGTGGGTGGTAGGGGTGACATTTTAATTTTTTTTAAAGACTTTATTTATTTGTCAGAGAGAGCACAAGCAGGGGGAGTGGCGGGTTCCCACTGAGCAAGGAGCCCGATGTGGGACTTGATTGCAGGACTCTGCTTAACCGACTGAGCCACCCAGGCGTCCCACAATGAAACCTCTCTGTCTACATCAGAAGTCCGACATCGACGCCTGCTATCACTACATCTACTGAACACTCTAGTGAGGTCCTGGCCAAGGTAGTAAGGTGAGAGAAAAGATTAGAAGGCTAAGTGTTTGAAAGGAAAAACAAAACTTGCACTACTTGCAGTTGATATGATTGAATCTATACAAAATCCAAAGGAATCCATAAAATAAACTTAGTAAGAATTTCGTTGTAAGGTTGCTGATTCCGTATAAAAAAAGTCAATTACATGTCCATCTAAATCAAATATTTAAAAATGAAATTTTAAGGGATACTATCTACAATAGCATCAAAAATTAAGATAACCAGGAATATATCCAGCAAAAGGCAAAATGTTAGAACTATAAAACCTCACTGAAAGGCATTACCAGCCTAATGAAGAGCCATGCCACGTTCATGTAACAGAAGAGTCAATATTAGAGAAGTGTCATTTTTCCTCAAATTGATCTACAAGTTCAGTGTAATCCTGTGATCAATATAACAGATTTTTATGTGGAAATCTGTTAAGGGATTTATAGAGGCCAAAGAGCCAAGAATAGTCAAGAAACTCTTTAAGAAGAAAAACAAAGAGGGACTTATTATAAAACAACGATAATCAAAAGCATAGTACTAACAGGTTTAGACAAACAGAGCAACTGGAGAGAACCTACAAACACGCCCCTGTACACCTGCTCTCACAGCATAAGACTGCAGGGGAGCACCGTTCAGTAAACGGTGCTTGGACAACTGGCTTTCTATGGGCAAAGATTATAAAATTGGAGCCTTACCTCCATCATTCACAAAACTCAATTATAGTTGAAAGTGTTTCTCTTTAAAGTAAAAATAGAATCATGTGATATATATCACACCAGCCTGGTTTTTCATTTAACAATATATGATGAATATCTTTCCGTGTCAGTAAACAGAGAACATCTTAAATAAATGTACCAGAATGGATTTAATCAGTCCCCTGGTTCATTTGTTTCACATATTTTGCTATTATAAATACAGGGAACAGAGCTGTACAAGAGATCCTAATTTCCACACATTCCACACCCGTTAAAGCCTCTTTTGACTCTGAATGTACTTTTTTAAATGATAAATGAGTTTGGAGCTATCACATGGCAGCTTCATTGTCTTTAAATATTTTCTTGCATTTGCTTTTATTTTTACGAAGAGGTGTGGAAACAGAAAATGAATGTACTGCTCCTCGTGATAAGCGGCACAGAATCTTACACTCTCATAATTGGCCCTGAGATCAAAAGCCCTCAGCACTCTGCATGTGGCTAATCTGGGGCCACAATCACACCCTCGACCGAACTCCATCCATTCGTTGGTATTCCGTCATCAGAGAAAAGAACAATGTTCAAAGAACAAGAACAAAACACTAGAAACACCTATTATCAGAGATGGGTTATAAAAGCAATGTATAATTAGAAAATTTATCTTTCTTTTTGAAATTCCTCTGGAATAGAATCTATTTTTTTCAACCTTAATACATTTTCACCAGTGTTTGCAGAATTCCATTATGTAAGAAATAAGGGAATGGCTACACTATGTATGTGTATGCATCTGATTATTCCTGTAGGAGAAATTCCTAGAAATAGAAGCACACCCTGGGCCCTAGTAAGTCTGTTTTAGATGCTTCGGAGAGACCAGCAAGACAACGTCAAGAAAGGGTGTTCTGATTTACAGTTCCAGCAGAAATGCATTAGCACCCATTTCCCACCCACACCAACACGGCACACCCTAGAATGCTTAATTTAGGACATTTCGTTGTTATTTTTATTTGTATTTCTTTGATGTGAGCACTTTTTCTGTTTCCTGACCTATTGCATGCATATAAAAGTATGTAAAATTCTCAGGGCAGTGCCTGGCAGATAGTACATATTCAGCAAATAGAAGCTATTTTTCCATGTTTATATCCTTTGTGAATTTCTATTCTTGTCCCCGTGCCTGTTACTTATAGGAGTCCTTTGCCTATTTCTTAAGAGTCTGTTGTAAGGAAAGCTGTTAACTCCTGCTGTATCACATTCTTTTTCCCAATCTGTCCTTAAAAATTTTGTTTATAGTTTCTTTAATCGTAAGTAGACAAATGCATCAATATGATTTTTGCCTTAGACACCATGCTTAGAAAGGCTCGGTCCTCCCCTGAGTTTATACTGATAATCACCTCGATTTCACTCTAGTGCTTCATGATTTTCCTAATTTAACTCTTCATTCCAACTGGAACTTAGAAGGCGAAGGAAGCTGTGTTACCCACATGTTATACAATGGACATATGTTACTTTCCTAATTAGAAAACAACTCACTACTCTACTAACGTCAGAGTCGAACTCCAGGCTGCATGCGTACGTTCATCGCCACGTTCAAGTCTACATGCAGTTTCCAGACGGACCAGGTCAACTGTGCACAGACGACCTGGATCTTCATAAAACCTGATCATAGTAATGGGTCCACGGGACAGGGTAACTTTTCTATTCACATTCTTGCTCATACAAACTACTCAGGTTTTTTCTACAGCAGGGATCAGAAAACTCTAGATGGCCAGGGAGTCGGTATTTGGGGCTTTTGGGCCAGAGAGCCTGTGGCAATGACTCGACTCTGCCATCAGCACATGAAAGCAGCCACAGACAGCACAGATATGGATGAATGTGGCTGTTCCAAATAAAACTTCTATTATGGATATTGAAACCTGGATTTCGTATTCTTTCTGTGTATCACAAAAAATTCTTTTGATCTTCTCAGAACCGTTTGAACATGTAACATCAATTCTTAGTTTGTGTGCCACCTGAACAAAAATAGGTGGCAGACCAGTTTGTCAATCTCTGCCTTTATTTCAACATTTTTTTTGGTGTCTTGTCAATAGGAGCACCATCCAGAACTTTCCGCGCTGACGGAAAGGTTTTGTATCTGCGCTTTCCAGTACGGCAGCTACTCACCACATACGGCCTGTGGGCACTTGAAATGAATGCTAAATTTTATTTAATTCAAACAGCCACGGTTCTAGCAGCCCCCACACACTGGACCGTGCCTGTCAGCAGAGTGGGCCCTATGTATATGTGTATATATATATTTTTTTTTCTCCTGGGGACCTCAATCCACATACTTAATATAGTCACAAAAATAATGGGTATTCACTCAAGTAAAAGTTCCACAGTTTTTTATTCCTGAGACAAAAGGGAGCAGGTTGACTTTTCATTTCTAAAGGCCTTCTGCCCTCAGTTCTCAGAAAGCGGGGTGGCTACAGCACAGCGCCCAGAGTACTGGCTCGAGCCTGCCAAGCCTGAAGCTACTACCTCACTCTGCTCTTTCTGCCCGTTGCTACTCTTCCTTAAACACCACACCACACCCTCTTTTCCCTGATCCTTTCCTCTCTCCCCCAAAAGGGTAAAAAGAAAAATACCCAATTAGTGGAAGAGCATGTAGTCCCACAGCAAAGGCTTTGCAGGTAAAAAGGCATGCTCACCGTCAGGTCAAGCCGACTGTTCCGCGTTGTGATGGACAGTTCGATGGTGGACAGCTGCACTTCTTTCCAGACCTCAGGGCTCACCTCTTGGGAAAGGGCTGTGTGGGGGATTAGATTCAGGTCAGTTTCTCCTGCTAACATTTCATCACTCCCGCACCAACGGTGAGCTGCTGGTGCTCAGCTTGGCCTGAACCCAGGCCTGCCCGGGGACTCTCCACCTAAGTTTTATTTATTTCACAGTTTCTTACACACAGGATGAAGAGCCAGGCTCAAAATGCAGTCTCTATACCCGAAACATCCCTACCAGAGCAGCCACAGTAACATAAAAGTCAGTCATGGTCTGTCACCAGCGATGCATGCACGGGACAGCGCTGGTTTGGGTCCTGCACTGTGGCGCAGGGTCTTTGAAAGGCTTCTCCTGCACCAGGCAAGCAGCCCACACTGATGTGGGGGCTGCTTTAGGCAGCCCGGAACCAGCCAGGGCTCTGCAACCAGCATGCGGCTCACCGTCCTGCGGCTGTGCCCAGTATGACGCGAGCCTGCGTAATATTCTCCTGTACAAAGAGGGCCGCGGAGGGGTCTCGTCTGCTGCCGTGGGAGGTCTCTCCGTAGGTCCCGTGTACGAGATAGACGCTTGATGTATCTGAGGCCACTCCTTTCAATGTGAAGAAAGAAAACTTGTCAGGCACACCCAAGTCCAAACTCTGGGAGGAGCTCTGCAGAGGTTAGTGACCGACTTATGCCTGCCTGAAAGCGAGTTAATAATCTCACTGAATGGCATGAGCTCTACTCTGGAGCATGGAATCCTCAAGCTTTCTTTTCCTACTGAAGGCCGATCTTGAAAACCATGAACTCAGACTCTAGACTGTTTGTCTTTTACTTCCTGACACCCCAATCCAGTCTCATCAGTGTGCACAGGAATAATTAAAACTCCCCCCTAGTCACTCAGCCCCTGATGTCCTCTCTAAACCCCAGCCACCCATTTCCATGGCCACATCCTGGCCCTTCCTGTTACCCAGAACTATTCCATCCTAGAAATCTAAAACCTTGATATCCTACTCTCTAACCATGTCCCATATTCTTTTTTTTTTTTGACTGATTCTTTTGTGCCCAGTATGTCTCTCAGGGTGACCCACTCCCCTGTTCTCAGGTTTCCATGTGGTAAATTACAAAGGAGTAACAATTCTGGCTCTTCTCTCTCTCTCTCTCCCCCTGAAAGTGGCTGTCCTGGGGACTCACTGCTTCCTCATGCAGTCGGCTTCCTATGGCAGTGTCTGCCCTGAAGGAGACATTTTAAGGGGATGAATTCAATTTGGAATATTTGGAAAACTGATTGTGACCGCATTACCTAAGCTGTGTCCTTTACTCCTGCTGACATTTATAAAGCTGGTATTTTGATCTCCATCTGCCTGGTTCCTGCATTTGCTTTCATGACTTGGTTCAAACGCAGAAGAGGAAGAGAGGGGTGATGTTTTTTGGCTCCTGAAGATCCAACCCCATACCAAATTTCCAATCCCATTGAGAATTCCAGTCCCTGACTAAACCATTTTCCCTCAGTGCCTAATTAACAGCTGATAACTTTAAGTCACTCTTTTCCCATCACTGTTGGTCCTCCTGCGTCTTTGGTGTTATGTTATATGTGCCCTGAAAAGCCCCTATTCTGGATCAATCCGGTCACTAGGTTTCTGTACTTGCACATCGTGGCTCTGTATTACTAGAGGGGCAATCTGGGTAAGTACACCTGTGCCAACTTCAAATTCTTGGTCTCGGGTCCTCAATGCCACTTGATAATCCTTCCAAACCTCCCTATGTTCATCTCTCTTCAAAATCCCCACCACTACCACCTACTTCATTTTCAACAGATCACCTTGCTTCCCACACTTCAGTGAGACCATCAGAACATCAGTGAGAACTGCCGAACGCTCTATAAATCTGTTTGCACCTGGACCTCTGCTCTAGTTCTCTCCTTCACAAGGAGAAAGGCGTCCCTTCCTCTGTCCAAGGCTGAGCCGGCACCATGGGCCCCGCGCCCCCCGACCTGCGCGTGCGTTTTGCTGACTCAGTCTGGCTCTGCCTCTCCTTGTCTCTCACCTCTTCCCTTTCTTCTTGTCTTTTGTTTCAGGGTAGAAAGACACGGCTCTCTCTCCAGTCAAGAAAAACACTCCGCTGGCCCCATGTTTCTCACTAGCTTTTGCCTTTTCTATCTCCTTCCCTTCCAAGTGAGGCCTCTGGAAGGAGCAGCCCGGCCCTAATGTCTGTGCATCTTCACCTCCCTTTACCCCCTAACTCTTCGTTGATGGGACTCAGCCCCTCCACTTAGGAGCTGAGCAAACCTTCAGTGGCTGCTGAGGTCAGCAGGCACCTTCCCGTCCTGACTCCGACTCTGTGCTGCCGCTTCTCGACGCTCTGGCGCCCACTGGCTAGCGTGTCTCTCCCGGGGACTCTCCCAGGGCCCTCCCCTTCCCCTCAGGGCTTCACAGGCAGCTCTGCGGCTCTTCACGTTTCCATTCCTCGGGGCTATCCCCGGCCTGTCCGCGCCATATGCCAAACGCAAAACCTCATCTTCACACAGGGGATCCTACTCTAATATTGTCAGCGGTCAGGGAAAACTCTAGTTAGCAAACTAGCCCGGACCTCATCACTTCTCACCTGGCTTACTTGAACCATCTTCTCTCTGGTGCTCCTGTCTTAACCACCCACATGCAATCTCTTGTCTACACTGTTGACAAATCACTTTTCTAAAATGCAGACCTGCTCATGTCTCTCCCCTGCTTAAGACTCAGTAACTCCCCAGCGCTTTCATGGTGAAAGTCAGCTGCCATATCCCAACCTGCCACGTCCTCCCTTCCCCCCTCCCCTCCAACGGCCCCTTCTTGCCCTTCTGTTGCCCCACCATGTGACATCACGACCACTTCACACGTCCTGGCTCCTCCACCCGGAATGCCCTTTATCTAGTCCTGTGTAGACTCAAACTTGAGTACAAGTGTTCCCTGCCCTGGGAAGGTTGCTGCCCTTGAGCCAGATATGAATGCCCCCGCCCCCCAACCTGCTCCCACCTTATCTTTCCAGACGCTCTCCCAGAATTTGCCAGACCCCTGATTTACTGGTCCCTCACGCTCCCCAAACGTGCATCCTCCTGGAGGGCAGGAAACCTGCCTTACTTGACTTTGTATTCTAAGCAGATAGCAGGGCTGGCCACACTAGATATTTAATAACTGCTGAAGAAATGCTGGAAAGAGGTTACATTCTCCCTGACTTGACAACTTAAGTCCGCAGCTACTCTACTCTCCCTAACTGCACCCCCACTCTACCACTGAAATTACTCCCTTAAGCAAGAGTAACAATGCATTTTACTAAAACAGTCTGCCTTCAGTGTAGAAAGGTATTGCCCTCCAAGTTCATGTTCATAATCATGTTAACCGGCTACCCCCAGTACTTAAGGGTTTTATTTTTTACATTTCTTTAACACAACAAGAATTTATTTAGAAGGTGAAAGGACCTATGTTTTCCAAATGTTATGTAATGGACATACCTCACTTTTATAATTAGAAAAACACTTGATGCTCTGAATATTAACATTAGAACCAATATTTTCACTACAAACTTCATATGCCAATTTTCAGACTGACCTGCCAACTTTTGAATATACTGCTTTGATTTGCATAAAAGCTGAACACGGGATGTTATCCACAGATAAGGATGATTTTGCTATTAGCATTTTCATTAATATACACTGTTCAGCTTTTCTCTATGCCAACATTTTTCAGTGGACAGGCTATAGTAGCAGTGCCCGATGGAATGTTCTCTGACGTTGGAAATATTCTCTATTTGTACGGTCTAAGACAGTAACCACTACCCATATTTTGCTAGCACAGTTTGAAACCTACTCTATTATACACAAGCCTGTTCAATTACATACTTTCGGATGCAAATCTTCAATTCATTTCCAGACACTAATGTAGACACCCTTACAAATAATTGAGCTATAGGTCATTCTGCTCCAGGTTTGTCTGGCAAGAGTGAGTGAATAAGTAAGCAAAAGGAAGTGGAATATCAAAGAGAAATTAAGGATGAGTTTGGTAAGGGAGGGAATGAACTGGTAGATGAGCGGTGATGGCTTATCCAACAGGAATGCTTCCTGCATTCGTATCTAAGTAAATATCCCCCATTTGGAAATTGTTAGATGTATCTGTAGCAGGGAATTTTTAAAAATCCAAATCCACACATCATAGAATAACAACAAAATAACACAGGGGAAATTTCTACACTGGAAATTGCATTTACCTTAAGAGTGCTGAAGAAGTGAGCTGCTTTGGTTTTTAGAGGCCCGAGATACCAGTACCTGAAAAAGATCAAGACAAAAATCTGATCAGAATATTAAGGGAACTATCAACGTGACAGACACCTTTCACGAAGGACAGTACGTTAAAACTGCACCTCTACTGTGGATACTCTTCACAATCACCTCTAGTGTGAGGGATGTACTATGAATTACTCTCTACTCACAGCTCTGGAGGCCTGGGGATTGTGCTTTAGCAGAAAAAAGCAGGACAGTTAAGTTTTTAATCTGCATTTCAATGTCGTGTCAAATAGGGCATAATTAGTTACACAGTGCACAGATCCTTGCAATTTACAAGAAATACATAATCAGCGTCTTCCTGACTCTTTCAATTCACAGGTATCACTGTAATATACACTTTCAACCACAGAATGTAGCAGAGTCTACATTCAAAAGAGCAATGAGTGAAGGGTGATGAAGCCTCAATGAGATGCAGATGTTGGGGTGGTCTGGTGTGTGACTCACATGCTAAAATGACTGGATCCTGTACATCATGTTCTCTCTCTCTCTCTCACACACACACACACACACACACACACAATTAAAAATCTGTAAATCAGCCTAACCTCACATTACTCGTGTTATGCAGCTTCAAAATGGGAAATGTTAAAATCTGGGAATGAAGAGGGTCTACCGCATACTGCTAAATACATAAAAGCTAGTGTAGAAAGAAAGATGCTTACCGGGAATTAGAAAAGTGACATAAAATGGATTCCTCTCTTAAAATTTATCTCTGTCTCCTAACAGCTCATCATAAGTGCTCCCTATTTGATTCTGGTCAATACACATTTATTTAGCATTTACTATGTATATGAAGGAAACAGAAGTAAGAGTATAAAAGAGTATAAAATTCCTGCCTTCGAAGGCTTATAACTTGAGAAAGTAAAGCCCAAAAAAGTAACAGAAAACAATAAATGACTATATATATATATATCAGTGTCAACGGATCGCTATTTGTTGGTGAGGAGAGTCAAGAAGGGACAAGAAATCACTAAGGACTGAAAATCATCAGGGCAACCAGGCCTGCATGATGAATGGCACAAGAGCAAAGTAAGGGCATGGAATTTAAAAACATGGTTTGGATTTAGATCCATGAAAGAGGGAAAGAAGTCATTCTACACAAGAGGAATAGCAAAGGCACAGTGAACACTGAGAACAGTAACCACATTAAAGACTTAAAAGTAACGATACATAACTATGGAATTAGGGTTGATGACGGATCAAGGTGGGCCTTGAATGCCAGAATAAGGGGGTTAGATAGACTCCAAAGAGCAATGTGGAGCCATCCTAATTATTATCCGGGTTCATACTGTGATGCTACAAATGAGCACCTTGATCATCTGATTTTTTCTAAGCTTACATAATAATTTGTTTCATTTCCCAGCTAGCCAGAGAGAAACTGTCCATAGTTCCACTCATCTCTACCAATGGCATAGCATTGACACTATGCTTGTAGCCTGATGGCTAGCTAGGAAATCACTTCTTGCATCCTATTGTTTCTTCCATGGCACAGAAGGACTCCGTGGAAGGTCCCAATTGAGGTGTTAGATAATCACCACCAAAATTTTAAAATTCATTGTTCAAAAACCAACCAAAATAGGGGCAAGTGTGTGAGATACTCCTAAAGGGGCTGAGCTATGCTAGTGCTCAGTTGTTAACACACTTCAGGAAGCAACTTGATCTCACCAGACTTCTTCAGGGAAAATAAAGAAATTACTCTTGGTGAGTTGCTGGTATTCAAGATCACAGATAAAACATAAGGTGATTTGCTGGGTCTCCCGAGTGACTCAGTCAGTTAAGTATCTGCCTTGGGCTCAGGTCATGATCCCATCCTGGGATCAAGCCCTGCTGTGGGCTCCCTACTAAGCAAGCAGTCTGCTTCTCCCTCTGCCCCCACGTCCCTCCCCACTTGTGTGCTCTCTCTCTCACAAATAAGTAAAATCTTTTTTTTTTTAAAGATTTTATTTATTTGACAGAGACAGACACAGCAAGAGAGGGAACACAAGCAGGGGGAGTGGGAGAGGGAGAAGCAGGCTTCCCGCCGAGCAGGGAGCCCGATGCGGGGAACGATCCCAGGACCCTGGGATCAGGACCTGAGCCGAAGGCAGTCGCTTAACGACTGAGCCACCCAGGCGCCCCCAAATAAATAAAATCTTAAAAAAATAAAATAAAATAAACACCGTAAGGTGGATTTGTGGAATCAAGGTAATCATGGCCAACTTACACATAAAAACAATGTTGAAACGCTCAACAGTGCAGTGTGTAATACAATACAGCACATCTCTCTTTAGCATTCCACTCTCCAGAACCTCATTAGCAGGAATAACAAAGTGAGACAAGTAAGAGAAACTTCCATAAAGAAAGTGTGGCAGGAAAGCCTATGAGGGGAAAGAGGCGTCTTTTTGAAAAAAGCTGTGAAACCGATCATGATTCACTTAAACTATACTAAAATTATAAGCCCAATGTTAAAAAAAAAAAAAAGGTAAAGAAAAAGCACTACCCACCAGATATGGAGTCAGTCCCCCCCCCTCAGGAAGCCTGTGCCTGCACCACCCTCCACTGGGAACAGAACACAGCTCAGTTGCTTTCCAAGCCAACAGTTTCATTCGGCACCATGAACTCTCGGGAAAGAGAGTTCATTCCCATGGAAGCAAGCCACGACCCTCTTCTCACCGCCGAGACAGGCTTGTTTCTTCAGCTCACAACATAGCCAGGCATCTGCCTTTCTTCCTTCTGAGAGAGGCAGCCTGTGGTCTCTTGATCTGCCAGGCTTTCGACAAGAACACCTCTCAGGGCCAGTCTTCCAGGGCTAGAAAGGCTCCATAAGGCTGGGGCCCCCGCAGGGACAGCCCAACAGGCTGCAGGATGCCAGGCAACCCCAGTCTGGAGTGAGCCTGGCCTGTGCTCAAACACAATGTCCGGGGACAGAGATGCGGTCTCCGCCACTTTACTACCAAGCTAGTGTGGAGGAAACGGGAACCTTCCCCAACCTTTCTGTGTGTCAGATCTAAACCTCTGCCTCTATTATTCATAAGAAATTCAACCTCCAGGCCCATCAAATTTCTTCCTAGATGATCACTGTATACTGAAACCTCAAAGACAGGAGCAGAAAAAGATTTTTAAGAAAAATCATCCCACATCAGTACAGTAATCCTTTACTTGCTAACTTTGACGCCAGCATCTCTGAAGGATCCCCATCGAAGGCCAGTCACTGCAAACACGGGCTGTTCCTTTTCACCCTGGAAGTTAAATACATTCATTTTAAATCAATGATTACAGTAACTTGGAATGCTCTACAGGTAAGTACCCAGCAAATGTTCATGGCCTACTTGTCCTCAAACCAAATTCTATAGGGGATATTCAAAATCTCAGAAATTAACTGAGTACTCAGTAAAAAGACTTGAGTAAACCACACTGTAAATGAAATTAATTTTTCTATAGTAGGCCTCGTGAATCTGCTGGCCAGGGAACACATTACCGTACTTCAGACTGTAAATTCCCAAGTACCTAACTAGGCTGGCTCTTCGACCAATCAGTGGTTGGGTCGGCCAGAATTTCTCCTCTCTCAGAGACCTGTCCAAGGCAAAGCTAATTTAAGCCTGCATTCTCTTTAGAGGTCCAAGCGCTCTCAAGAGGAGAATCCTGGGATTCTAGAATGTTCACCTGAATATCTAAAACGACAGCGAGGCATCTCTCATAACAAGTCGGAATAAAAAGTGATTTGGATTTAGTCCAATGCTTTATGGCAAAATATTGCATATTACAATCAGTGAGTTTAGGAATATATAGAAAACATACACAATAGAGCCACTGTCTTTAAGAGTTCATAATGGACCTTCTGTAAAGTATACATTTTATATATATTTATATATATATCTCAAGATTGTAAATACAGCCAAAGCCCAAGACTCTGCCCACATCCTAAACAGAGCTGTCACATGCTAGACACACAACTCCCCAGAACTTGCTAACTGGGGGCAGAACTGGTTCGATTTCTACCATGCCATTAGTACAACCAGTATCAGCAGAAGATGGGGAACTGGAAGAGAACCCTCGACACTGTCAACTGCTGGTCTAGAGGAAGTACGTGAAGGCTTTCCCTCCATCCCACTTCGATCCCAGCACACTGAAACCAAGTGAGGGATTTCTTTTATTTTTTTTTTAAGATTTTTATTTATTTATTGAGAGAGAGAGAGAATGGTAGAGAGAGAGCATGAGAGGGAGGAAGGTCAGAGGAAGAAGCAGACTCCCCGCTGAGCAGGGAGCCCGATGTGGGACTCGATCCCGGGACTCCAGGATCATGACCTGAGCCGAAGGCAGTCGCTTAACCAACTGAGCCACCCAGGCGCCCAAGTGAGGGATTTCTAGGAGAATCACACACTCATAGGGGCAGCTTATAAGTAAAGACACTGGCCTTTTGTCCCTTGGTGTGTACCTGTTCAAGCAGTAGACGTGTTTTCTGCCCTCTGCAGCAGCTTAAGCAAGGAAAAGGGAACTCGGGCGAGAGCCGGCGGAACACAGAGGTGATGGTGAGGCACCTCGGCCCAGCACAGTATAAGGATACGATAGTCTCCTGGGTGTCGAGTGGATGTGGAACATAGGCAGGGCTTGGAGTCATCCTGACGAGAGAAAGCTAATCATTTTTTTCATGGAATTATCACTAGCGAATACATATCCTATATTAGGGACTGGTGATAACAAAAGTATCTGCCCTCAAAGAGCTCCAGGTGCGACGGGGGGTTTGCAGACACACACGATGACAACACAATGCAGTAGGTTCACATGATGGAGACAGGCATCGAGGATTATGAAAACACAGAGCAGGTATGACTCTATGCGGTATGGGGGGAACAAAGGAGACTGATGGCTGGGGAGATACAACATAAAATGACACCCACGTTAAATTTTAAAGAATAAGGTGCCTACATTGAGGGAGGCTGGGGAGGAGCACCGAGAGACAGAAAAGAGAGAAGGAGGGGTGGTTTAGCCTCAGGACAGAAGCAGCACTGTGTGAGTCTGCAGTATTTCTCCCAAATGTTCCAGAGGGGCTAGTAAGCATCACAACAAATAACAACAGTAATGATGGTAGAGGATTCAATGGTGCAAGGAGTTGAGAAATATAAAAATTCCCTGGTTTGAAACCAGTTATGTTTACTGCAGTTCGTCTTAGAATCTTTAATATGTTAATGTACATTATAAACTTCCAAAAGGAGAAATACACACAGTTTCCCTGAACTGTTTAACTGTGCAACCCTTCCCTGGCAGGCATTTTGCATTACTAATATTCCTTGGGAAAGGCTGATCTAAAGCATGCAGGGTCACATGAAGTCCTGCTTTGAGTACTCAAGACTTCCCAACTGGTACGCTAAGAATATTTTCTCTTTCTTCATTGTGATTTTAGGAATATTCTGTTAAGATTGGCTGCAAAGCCCTGTAACCTCAAGGTGTCATTGATTTGGGGTGCTATCCTAGCAAGGGGTGGGACTCTGGACAATAGGAAATGAGTGTGGAAAGATCTAGAGAAGCCCAGCTATCAGCCAGATGGGCACAGAGCCCTCAGGATTCAGGAGAGGCCTAGGGGTCAGTAATGGAGAGACTGGTCCCTGTTGGGGTACACAGGAAAAATGAACAGGGGCAGATGGACAGAGTAGAAGCCAACAGACAAAATACCACTGGATGTTAAACCCGACGAAGGCCTGGGTGATAGAGTACCAGATGGACAGGTCAGTAAACAAAAACAGATACAGAAAGACAGGCAAACAGCCAGATTTTAACAGCAAAGGAGATACGCTGTCCCAAGTCACAGATCCCCTAGAAAGAGAAAATGGCCTCCTGGTTTGCTAAAAAATAAATCAATAAATAACAACTCTGAGAGCTGGTTAGAATAAAAGCTTAAGGGACAGTGAAAAGAAAACAATTCTAGTCAACTAGATAGGTACCTAATCCAGGAATTTAAGGAATTCTAGATGAAGAGACAGAAACAAATAGAAGGAATTCGGAAGTTCTGAGGTTTTGATCAGTCAGGGTTTTAACAGAAGGAAGCCAGGAATAACAGGAGAAAGAGATTCTCACTTCAGTCAGCAACCCTAACCTCCTCTTTGGGTTCTGGCTGGAGGTTCTAAGAATACAACTGAAGGAGCAAAAAGAAAGAACTAGAAAGACTTCCATAAGTCTTCCCAGTAGTTACTTTAAAGTACTAGGCTTTGTAGATGTCTCTATGGGAAAATGCCCCCCCCCCCTTTTTTTAAAGATTTTACTTAATTGACAGAGAGAGAGAGACAGCGAGAGAGGGGACACAAGTGGGGGGAGCGGGAGAGGGAGAAGCAGGCCTCCCGCGGAGCAGGGAGCCCGACACGGGGCTCAATCCCAGGAGCCCGGGATCAGGACCCGAGCCGAAGGCAGACGCTTAACCATCTGAGCCCCCCAGGCACCCAGGAAAATGCCCTTTAGAAATCACGGCCTGGTGCCAAGAACGAGACCACCTGGACAAAATGGTCAAGCCAAAAAGCAATGGACCATAAAACAGAAAATCTAGATTCTACTTCTGTCTCCAGCATGACTAGTCCAATAATCAGCTGACTCTCTCTCTCTTTTTTTTTTTAACTATCAAATGAAGATACTAATACACATCTTGTCTTCTCAAGCTGGAGGTCCAAATGAGATATGAGTACACACTGGACACTGTAAAAACCTAAATATAATGCATTATTATAGCTTCCAAGAACTATATCTTTGGAGACTCTTCAGTTATTTATGTTTAATTGGGTTTGGGTTTATTTTTTAAAAGAAGAAGAATCTGGTATCAGGCTTTACCTATATTGCTTTCCCCCATGTTCTGAAAACAATCTCTTGGACTAAGGAAGATAGAGAAGACAAATTCAGCTTAACTGGGTGCCTCAGAAACCACGGTGGAGGCTGCTATGTTCTCTAGGAATTAATTTTTAAGGTTTTCTGCTTCCTAGGTTGTGTCATCAATACACAGAGCCTGTGGCAAATCTGATACTGGTTTCATCAACTCACAAAATCAGTACATGTGGAAGAAAAGAAAAAGAGGAGATAAGACTTTTAAATACAAGCACAGTCAACAATTTCCAATTAAATCCTAATTACTCTGGAATGTATTACTTCTCGCACATTTATAAGCAGGAATCACCTGGTTATTAGGAGATATAGCCTGACCCACCTCCTTTGCTAAATAACATTTTAAGATTGTATCTTCATAGATGCCAATCTGTGCTGCCTTCCTAGACTAGAATTTCTTTCACACAGCCCTTCCATTTTGTGAGAATGACTTAGATTTATTACACGCTAAAGAATCAAAGGCAACTTAAATCACTTTCATCATGACCAGTGACGTCATGGTGGAAAGTCCACACATCACTGCATGAAGAACAAAAGAAAACAAAAGGAAAATGGGCTGTAAGCGCATGGGTTCGCCAATTGTAAATCTGCATCTGGTCAATGCTATATAACTAACAACAACATTACAGGACTGAAGTTTGGAATCGTGACAGTGTGTGGAACCTTCTTTCATAGATATCGGGAAACTTGAGTGAATATAAAACGTTCAGGGCCTCTGAAGGACAACCTGAATGTAGCGGGCACATTTTAAGACCAAATCTGAGTAAATGACAGGGCTCACTGTTCATAAAAATGTTTGGCTTTATGGCTTAGCCTTCTGAGGAATCTGCCCTTTTGTGGTGAGGAAGGTGGGTAGTTTTGATGAAGGAGGAATAGCTACTTAACTACCACCCAGTGAGAATATCTTTTTTTTTTTTTTTGAAATTCAATTCTTTTTAAACAGAGGATTCCAATCAGGAATCTGGAATGACTACTGGGTCTTCTTCCCACCAATATTTTTCTTTTGGAAAAATGTCAAACCAAGAAATTCTTTAACATACAACGAACTCCATTTATATCTCTCAACCACATTCACCAGCCACCAACATTTTTCCCCATTGGCTTTATCTGCGTGTGTACGTGTTTTGTAGTTTTGTTAAATCATTTGCAAATAAACGGAAGACTGCAATGGCCCTCACCCCTAAATATTTCAGCATGCATCTTCTAAGAACAAGGACAGACATATGCATAATGCTACTGTCACTCTCAAGAAATCTAACATTGACATATATCTAATACACAGTCCGAATTAAGTATCTGACTGTTCCCATAATATCTTTTGTGCTCTTGTTTTTCATTTTTCTAATCCAGGATTTTGTACTGGATTTAACTATATTGTTTTCATTTCTCTAATCTTGAACAGACTCTATCTTCCCTTGGACTTCAGGACATTGATATTTTTGAAGAGGCCAGACCAATGGTTGTTTATAGAATGTCCCACAATTTGGATTTGATAGACTTTTTTATCATTAGTTTCAGTTAGATTCAGAGAAGTGGACCTTCTGGGCAAGAAACTCAACAGATCACATGAGGAGGCAGATATTGTCCATCTGTCCCATTATTGGTGATGCTAAGTTTGATCACTCGGTTAAGGTGGTGTATGCTGGGTCTCTCTACTGTACAGGTACATCTTCCCCGACGTAATCATTTAGTAACCTGTGATGCTTTAAGACTGTTGATATATGTTCCCTAACAACCTTCTATCCAATAGTTTTAGCATCCTCTGATGATCTCTATCTGAATCCATTATTTCATTAGTGACTGCAAAATAATAACTATCATTCCTTCTACATTTCCAAGCTGGAAATTCTCTTAAACTGTGGGCTCATAGATTCATTTTTATTTACTGCATTATAATCCATTAGCATTATTATTCTTTTTGATGTTCGAACTGTCCCACAGTTGGCCAGGTGGATACCATCAGGCTAGCTCCTATGTCTTTTCAGGTTATCTCCATTAGTTTTTGAGTAGCTCTTGGCTTTGTTCTTGCCTTGCCTCTGAAAGCCATCTCTTCAGAGAGTCCTGGTAACTTTTATTAGGGAACGGTATTTAGAGACCAAAATCTGAGTGCCAGGTATGCCCATTACTGTGGGGTGTCATTGCTTCTAAGCCCTTTCAGTGGGCATAACCAGCAAATATTTTTTTTTAAAACAATTCATGAGTTCATCTACAAATCAAAAAAATGTTAGACAACCCAATAGAAAAATGGGAAGTTCTGCTCCCATCCAGGATGTAGGATGCTACAAAGAACATTATTCCCACCCAAAAAATGAGAAAAACCCAGATAACCTACAAAATCATCATTTTTCTTGAGCCCACCAGAGAGCGAGCTGAGACGGCAAGACAGCCAAGTAACCTGAATTCCAAAGACAAGCCCCTCCGATGGATGGATGGGACAGGAGAAAGGCTTCGCCTTTGGCAGAGCATGAGAGCAAGAGGCGACCACCACGCAAACAGGTTAAGGTGAAACCAGTCACTGTCCCAAGGGCTTTGTATTACTAGCTCTTTTAATATTCCAAACCACCACGGGAGATAGAGAAATTATGTGGTCCAAAGGTAATCATTGGAGGAACTAAAAATAGTGACACTATACTGAGAGGAGATCTAGAGGAATTCTTATTTATGACAAAGAGGTCAAGAGATAGAATCTAAAACTGAAAAATCAAAAAGCAATTCCATAGACTAAACAATAATGATCAACTGTACACCTGAAGATGGTTATGATGGTAACCTTTAGGTTTTGTAAGGGTTTTTTAACACAATTTTAAAAAGTAGCATCATAAGCATATTAACTAGTGATAACAACTAGAATAAACAGGTAAAATTCTTTTTTTTTCTGAGAGTTATGCTTGGGATAAGAAAGGATATTGTTTTCAGTGTAACCCCATTTGAACCGCTACCTCACATTTTCCTTACCACGTATGTGTGCATTACTTTGGTAATTTTGTCAAACTCTGAAGAAAAGACTCTACCTTGATCTGCAAGACATCAAGTGGAACAGTCTCTCCTTTCACAATGGCAAGTGTAGCATCTGTAATATGTCTAAAAAGACAAAGGGAGGAAATGATCATGTGTGGAAAACAAGCAACCCCTCACCCACCACACCCATACCCACACTCACACCCACATCCACACACACACATACTCCTGCCCAGAGTACTAACAGGTCAGGAAAAAGACCTACTCCTTCAAAATACTCCAAGATAGCACAACAAATGAATATAAAAGAGTTACTGATACAAATACGGTGGAAGCCTTTGGCAAAGAGAAGTTTATGCAAGGTGCCAATCATTTGTTTACATCACATTTATTGAATCTCTACTATGTGTCTTATCACTAGAAAATATGATACTTAATATTAACAGCATCTTTCATTCATTCAAAGAAATTCAAGCACTTGAAAAAATATTATTTCTTTTGACTCTAATAACCTAAAGGGTAACTAAAGGATAGGATTTGAGCTACCTCAGCAAAATATAATCTGGAACCCAAGACCTATTTCTCTGACTTACCAGGATTACAAGGATGTAATTTTAATGGCTGATTCTTTTGTTCATAGACACAAGACTGTTCCTATCTACAATCTGATCGTCAATTGAAAAGTCTATAAGTAAGAAAGGCTAGTACCATCGACAACCGTTCAGGGCATGTGAAACTATGCTAGGCTTAAAAGCAATTCTAGGGCTCAAGCTCTAATTAGATCCCAGGTCAGACACATTAAATTACAACAGTCAGTCAAAGAAATCTTAAATCAACAAGTGGCCAGACAGTATTTGCTCTTGCAGCAGAAAGAACGAGTCAACTCGCTCCAAACGCTCTCCTTGCCCAGCCTGTCCGCCCGCCCTCTCACTTACCCACTGTCTCTTTGCTTGGCTGGCTATTCTCATCCTTCAGATCTTGGCTGAAATGTCACCATTTACCCTAACCAGGCTGTAGGCCCTTCTCTATAATTCTCTAGCACTGAACTGTATTCATTTTCCTTCATCACAGATCACAATTTATAATACACATTTGTTATTTACATCTTTAGTATCTGCCTCCTCCTGGAGACTGAAAGTTCCACAAGGTTAGTAATAATTTACATCCATTACTGACCAATATGAAACCTAACACCTAGCACAGAGCATGGTATAGAATAGGCAATCAGTATTTGATGAATAAATGATTTTATTCTATAAAATTCCAAGCCATTAAAAACACAGAGAAAATAGTATCATGAATTCCTGTGTATTCCTCATCCAGCCTCCACAAGTAGCAATGCATAGCTGATCTTATTTTTTTTCATACTCTCACCCACTTCTCCCAGTCTGTAGCAAAGCAAATCCCAGATAGCGTTAACACTTTATCCATAGATATTCCTTTATGTATCTCTAAAAGACATATTCCTCTATTCCTAAAAGACTTTTTAAAAAAACAATGTCATTATCCTATCTAAAACATAAATAATTCCTTTCCATCAACATTTAGTCAATGTTGAAATTTCCCCAATTAACTCAATTTTTTTCAGTTTCTTTGTTAAATCTGGATCTAACACACTGCAATGGGCTTATATGTCAAGTCTTCTCTGATCTATAGATTCCCTCTCCTTTTCTTTCCCTACCTGTTAAAAAAATGGGTTGTCAAATGGTGTTGGGAAAATTGGACAGCCACATGCAGAAGAATGAAACTGGACCATTTCCTTACACCACACACAAAAATAGACTCCAAATGGTTGAAAGACCTAAACGTGAGACAGGAGTCCAACAAAATCCTAAAGGAGAACACAGGCAGCAACCTCTTCGACCTCAGCCGCAGCAACTTCTTCCTAGAAACATCACCAAAGGCAAGGGAAGCCAGGGCAATAATGAACTATTGGGGGTTCATCAAGATAAAAAGCTTCTGCACAGCAAAAGAAACAGTCCATAAAACCAAAAGACAACCGACAGAATGGGAGAAAATATTTGCAAATGACATATCAGATAATGGGCTAGTATCCAAAATCTATAAAGAACTTATCAAACTCAACACCCAGAGAACAAATAATCCAATCAAGAAATGGGCAGAAGACATGAACAGACATTTCTCCAAAGAAGACATCCAAATGGCCAACAGACATGAAAAAGTGCTTAACATCCCTCGGCATCAGGGAAATCCAAATCAAAACCTCAATGCGATACCACCTCACACCAGTCAGAATGGCTAAAATTAACAAGTCAGGAAACGACAGATGTTGGCGGGGATGTGGAGAAAGGGGAGCCCTCCTACACTGTTGGTGGGAATGCAAGCTGGTGCAACCCCTCTGGAAAACAGTATGGAGGCTCCTCAAACAGTTGAAAATAGAGCTCATACGATCCAGCAATTGCACTACTGGGTATTTACCACAAAGATACAAATGTAGGGATCGGAAGGGGTATGTGCACCCTGATGTTTATAGCAGCAACGTCCACAACAGCCAAACTGTGGAAAGAGCCAAGATGTCCATCGACAGATGAATGGATAAAGAAGAGGTGGTATATATATATATACAATGGAATATTATGCAGCCATCAAAAGGAAGGAGATCTTGCCATTTGCAACGACGTGGATGGAACTGGAGAGTGTTATGCTGAGTGAAATAAGTCAATCAGAGAAAGACATGTATCATATGACCTCACTGATATGAGGAATTCTTAATCTCAGGAAACAAACTGAGGGTTGCTGGAGTGGTGGGGGGTGGGAGGGATGGGGTGGCTAGGGGATAGACATTGGGGAGGGTATGTGCTATGGTGAGCACTGTGAATTGTGCAAGACTGTTGAATCACAGATCTGTACCTCTGAAACAAATAATGCAATATATGTTAAGAAAAAAAAAAAGAAATAGCAAAAAAAAAAAAATGGGTTGTCTTACTGTGTTGCTGAGGGTCTGGATTTTACTGATTGCATTCCCATGGTATTAATGTGTGTTAATGCCCTATTCCCTGCATTTCCTAAAAATCTCTATCTGATTCAGCTTGGTGTGTTTGGCAAACATATTCCAGAGGTAGTGGTGTGCACTTCTATCAGTAAGTACATAAAATCTGTTTGCCTTTTTTGTGTGTGTGTAATAGTAGCGACCATTGGTAATCAAGAGTTGCAAAATGGTGATCTTTTAATCCTATTATTCCTTCTAATTTATTATCTAGTCCACAAAGAGAAACTTTCCCTCATCAATGATTTAGGTACCATAAAATAGAAGTCATACGAGAAATATCTGATTTTTTAACTTCACCAATTTTCAAAGTAATAAGCGGATATCCCAGTATCCTCTAAAAAGGACCAATGAGTTTTTCACCTTTATTTCTGAGTATCATTATGAACTCATAAATAATTTTAAATATATTTGATATGTTTCAATGCATTATAGTTATTAGCCTTACTGATACTTAAATTGTCCCAAATGAATGAACTTCAAGGGTGGAGTACAAGGGTCAAGGGTCATTAGATAACTGGAATGAACAATGAGAAAGAGTGGCCAAGGAACGTCCCTGTCAATGTCAACCAAATTGAGGAACTAAGAGCTCCTCCCTAGCACTTACTCACACAAGTAGAGTTATCTATGTTTGAAAGAATTAGTTTAATACTTTAACTTTTTTTAAAATTAGATTGGTTGAGATATAATTTACACATAGCGATTTCATCCTTTTAGGTAAACTGTTCTACAATTTTTGACAAATGCCTTCAGTCATGTAACCATCACCATGACCAAGATATAGAACATTTATGACATCTCAGAAAGTTCCTTCATGGCCCTTTGTGGCCAACCCACTCACCCCACCATAAGCTCCTGGCCAACTACTGTTTTCTGTTTTTCAGAATGTCAAATAAATTGAAACCAAAAGTATGAAGCCTTAACAGTTTAGCTTTTTAAAACTCCTAGCGTGAGTATGAGATTCATTCATGCTGCTGAATGGATTTAAAGATTGTTTCTTTTTATTGCAGACTTGTATTCCATTGTATGGACATACCACAGTTTATCCATTCACCAGCTGATGGACATTGGCACCATTCCCAGTTTTTGGCAGTTACAAATGAAGTGACTTTCATGTATACATTTTTGTATGGACATATGTCCTAATTTCTTTTGGGTAAGTATCTAGCAGTATGATTGCTGCTCATAGGTTTAATTTTAAAAGAAACTGCCAAACTCTTTTCCATAGTGGCTATACCATTTTGCATTTCCACCAACAATATGAGAATTTCAATTGCTTCATGTATTTGTCAGTACTTGATGACATAAGGTTTCTGTCTGGTTTGTTTAAGCCATCCTAATAGACACATCTCACAGTGGATTCAATTTGCACTTCCCTAACAACTAATGATGAATATTTTTTCATGGGCTTATTTGCCATCCATGTCTTTCGTGAAGGGTCTGTTCAAATATATTGCCCTTCTATTATTTGGCTGTTTGTTTTCTTATTACTGAGTTGTGAGAGTTATTTGTATACTATGGACATTGGTCCTTTACCTTGCAAATATTTTTTTTCCAGTCTGCAGCTTGTCTTTTCATTTCCTTAACAATGTTTTTCAGGGGTGCCGGGTGGCTCAGTCCGTTAAGCATCTGCCTTCAGCTCAGGTCATGATCCCAGGGTACTGGGATCAAGCCCACTGTCGTTGGGCTCCCTGATCAACGGGAAGCCTGCTTCTCCCTCTCCCTTTGCCCCTCCACTCTTGAGCAGTGTCTGTCTCTCCTTCTCAAACAAATAAAATCTTAAGAAAAAAAAATACTTTTCAAAGAACAAATGTTTTAAATTTTGCTGAAGCTGAAATTATTTCTTGTTGTTTTTATGATTTCTGCTTTTTGTGTCCTAAGAAATCATTGTCTTGAGGCACCTGGGTGGCCCAGTTGTTAAGAGTCTGCCTTCAGGTCAGGTCAGGATCTCAGGGTTCTGGGATTGAGCCCCACATGGGGCTCCCTGCTCATCGGAGAGCCTGCTTCTCCCTCTCCCCCTGCTTGTGCTCTCTCTTGTGTGCTCTAATACATTAATAAACTCTTTAAAAAAAAAAAAATCATTGCCTATCTCCAAGTCACAAAGATTTTCCTCCAGAAGTTTTTATAGTTTGAGGTTTTACATCTAAGTCTATGATCAATTTCATGTTTATTTTTACATATCGTATGAAAGATGGGTTATGGTTCATTTTCTTGCATGTGCTTAGCTAACTGTTGCAGCACCAATTGCTGGAAAAACCCCACTGACTTGCCTGGCACCATTGTCAAAAAAAAATCAAGTGTCTACATATGTGTGGGCCTAATTCTGGACATTTTCTTCTATTGATCTACTCATTTCTTCTTTTGCTAATACTACACTGTCTTGATTACTGTAACTTTAGAAAATAAGTCTTGGAATCAGATACAGTAAGTCCTCAAACTTTGTGATTCTTTTTCAAAGTTATTCTGGGTTTTCTAGTTCCTTTATTTTTCCACATAAATTTCAGAATCTACATGTCAACATCTGTAAAAGGTCTTCTGCAATTCTGATTGAGATTGTGTTGAATTTAGAAATCATTTGGAGATAACAGACATCTAAATATTGAGTCTTAAAGTCCATGAACACAGCTATCTCTCCATTTATTTGTTTTCTTGATTTCTCTATGTTCTGTAGTTTTTAGCATATAAATCTTGTTATTTTGTTATATTTATCCCAAAGTATTTCATGTTTTTTTGTAAAAGCTTAGCAATGTTAGTACTACATTGCCTTTATTGTTGTTGTATTTTAGAAAAATACAGTAATTACTAATAAAGTTAAAGATTTATTGTGTCTAGCGTTTAAGTACAACTATAAGAAAGCAGTCACTTAGAAATTACTATAACCTCCATTCAAAAAAGTGTAGTTTCTCTTCTAATATGGCTTCTCCTAATCTATTCTTCACTGTACAGTTCTGGTTAATGTCAATTTGGTAGAAAAAATCACCTTTCCATAGTAACTGACTGGAATATCTATAAAATGCCTTCTCCTTTAAAAATGTTCTGGCTTAGGTGAAACAGTGAGAGAAGAGAGTGTTCTCTTCGATTTGCTTATATTGTATTAAGTATAGAATTGGTCTCAGTAACTGTACAGCTATCCTATTTTTTATTAACCGTTTTCCATCCTAAATTATCAATAAATATGCATAAAGTCTTCAACATATCCAATAAGTTACCAAGTGTAATTATCTGTCTACCTAACTAGTCCTTATTTTAACTTGTTAACAATCTTCTGAAGTACTGGTGTTGGGCATTTGATAAAGGCAGGTAAAGAAACTGATGCTCAGAGAGATTCAATAAAATTCTCGAGATGACAGAGCAAGCTTGTGGCAAAACGAAATTCAACTGCAGGTCTCACTCCAAGGGTGTGCTCTCTTACCCGGTGAGGCTGCTGTGGACGCACCAGAGGAATAGCCATGGGTTCCCAAAGGGCAACCCCACAGCTAACAGTGGGACCAGGCTTAAAATGTAAATCTCTAAGTCAGGAATCACATCCACTTGAATCGGCACTTCTAGCAATGTTAGGTACAATTTAAGACCCTTTAAGATACCCAAAATATACACATTAACTCAAACACTTAGATTACATTCTGGGCTCCCTGGTAAGCAAAATCAAAGTTAAGAAACAGCCTATTTTACTTTCCCATATTTCCCTATCAACACGTCTTTATCCCATTTTTTCCCTCCAATACAGATGCTATCCAGGAAGTAGGTAGCAGTTTAGAAAATGAGATTCAATTTAGGAGAAAGCATGATCACAAGTTTAGATTAATCTGATAGTACATTAATTCTGAAGGAAGCTATTAGAAAGGATCCAAAAGCTCTGTACTTACTCTGAGTAGTACCGAGCACATTGAGAGGCTTAGGAAGTGCTTTTGAGAGACTGACCTTAAAAAAAAAAAAAAAAAATGCTGCAACTGAAAAAGCCTTTTAATATTAATTTTTTTCCAAAATTATCTGGCAGCACACAGCTAAAATACAACCGCAAATTCATCATTCGCCAGCAGTAATTGAAAGTTCTAGCTAAAGTAGCTGTAGCACCAGCTATTTTTTTAGAATTATTTACCTGCAACATTCCAAATGCAAGATTCCTTTTTCTCCTGTAGTAATTATGGTACAACAAATCTTGACAGCAGTGCAAAAAGCAAAGCCTTGTTCTTTTAAATGGCCTTAGGCATCTGCCATGTTGAGAGGTCTACAAAATTCTGAACTCAGGGCAGATTTATTTAATTATCTCAGAGCCCTGGGGCATGCTTATAAATTAAGTTTTATAAATCTTTAAATTATAAATAGAAGCAGCAGCAACATTAGTTGAACCCAGGAAAAATCAGCTCCCAAAAAACTGAAGACCTTCAAGAAACTCAGACCTTGAGGGCGGCCACGCTGCCCATAACCTGGCTTTGGGATAGGCAAGGCGTTCTCCAAGGAACATGGTCTCCCTGTGGATGGCTGACATATTTGGGAATGTTGGCAGGGCAGTTCAAATAATCTATATTGACACAAAGGGAAAGACTAACTCTCTAAGGTAACCAAGACCCAAACCAGATAGAATTTATCTCAGATAAGCAAAAATGCTTGAATAATTCATTATTTGTTATATCCATCGCCCCTCGGAAATTCTAAACTAAGAATAAAAAGTCTGGCAAACTGAAATGTCACATGAGGCTTCAGGATGACTGGTGAAGAGCTGAACGCCCCCATTAGATTAAGGCTTGAAGCAGGAGACGTTTTGATGAAGGCCTGATATACAGGTCTATGGTTGGGCCTTGCGTATGACATATGGACCAAGGCTTTTATGATATATAGAGACAGAGAATTGTTAAAGGATATAAAATGACTCCTAAAATTCTAACAGCAGAAATAAATTCACAAAAACCAACCTAATCAAAATCCCAAAGCAGAAAAAAAAAACAGAAAATCACCTGAGTATTACTATTGTTATGATTCTAGAAGGTTATATAATCAGAAATGTTGTAAGAAGATTTTAATTAATACATTCAACAAGTATTTCTTTATTGACCTCCCGCAACTGTGTCACAAAGCTTACATGAAAGATCAGGCAACTGACAATGAGAGCCTGCAAACAATTTGCTCGATTATACTATTTATCACTGTCAAAGCCAGGACTCAAATTCAAGATTCCTATCTTCTTGAAAGACTACAGCTTTGTTTACATAACGCTTTCAAGAGAAAAGAGTGATAACAACAATCTGCCTGACTCCTGAAGACAGTCAGACTCAGAGCAATTTAATTTCGATGCCAGGGCTACAATGCTTTCCCAACTGCTTTATCCATACTGCCTTCCACTTTAGGCATTCCCCAAAGGATGGGACTATTATTTCGCTGTTCTAGTTACTTATATTAGCAAGATAATGAAGCCAAGGCTAGCCGTTCAGTTTTCACAAGGGACTTGCTATTTGTCATCATGTATTTTTAAAGCAAAAAAAAATGATCAATGCAAATCTGACTTCACTAGAGAATCTTACAAAATAAAGGCACAAAGATAGTTCGGATCGGGGATGCTATCTTCAGAACTGACAGAAGGACATCAGTATTCATCTCTACACCTGACCTGGGCACTTGATACCAGAGCAGCAGGGTCTCAGAACCCAACAGGGAAACTCCCAATGAACTGAAAGGTTGTACTTTGATCTGGGTCCTCTTCTTAATGATTTGAAGTTCCATGCTATCCAAACCAAAAACAAAAAATTCTTATCACCCACACGTGAACTGTCCATTCCCAGGCTCACTCACCCACAAATGCCACTACCCCACATTGACAACCTACTGGACTTTGTTTCCACTTTCGGCAAAGAGGGTAGGACTCAAACTACTGGTCTGTCCCAGTGGGATAAATCCAATGGGAATTTTACTGAAGGAAGCCTAAGGGGAAAAAAGAAGAGGAAAGTTTTTACAGTTATGGTCAGAGAATCAGACTGAACAGAGAGACACAGACGTGTCCACTATGACAAAGTAACTGACCCTCAGTGCACCACCCCATCTCTCCCTGCCCTAGACCAGCAATCAGATAACGCTAAGTGAGTGGTTTCTAGAATGAGGCAGGCCTCGGAAACAAGAGGACTCTGTGAATTTGGAAGAAATATGTGGGTACTCATTAACAGCAACTTGTTGAAAGAAATTGGGTTACAAAAAGGAGGGTCTTAAAGATATTAGATAAACGTGCTATTGTGACAGAGACTGCATTTTGTTATCACACTATTCGAAAAAGTTGTGGATAAACCAGAAATACCTAACATTTGTACAGTAACTATTAACAGTGTTTTATAAACAATCTCGAGTGTAAAGAAGGCAAAGAGAACAAGCAAGTTCAAGCAGCAGTCGTTCCTCTGTCTCCCCCCCCTTCCCCAGAGGAAACCACTATCCTGCCAATGCTGCGATACCTCTCCTGTCACGTTATTATTCTTTTACGACATATTTACACATCCATTAATAGTATGCAGTGTTGCTCTCTGAATTGCACAACATACTTTGGCAACCTGCCTTTTATATTCAGTATTTTTTAGACTTAATCATGTTTATAGATATTTATATATCTATATGTCTATAAATCTATAAATATTTATAGATATTTATAGATCTAACTCATTCATTCTTACTGCTACGTGGCTTCCAGTATATGATTATACCATCATTTATTTATGAAGGAATTCTGTGAAGAGAAGGTTCCATGGGAAAAATTTATATTTGAAACAATAGCTTTTCTGGTAAAAGCTCTCAGGCGCTCTGGAACGCTAAAACAGCGGAGCCCGCCGCAGATTAATCAAAGTGTTCTAGGACACAGGCAGTAGTACTTTATTTGCTAAAACCCAAAGAAGCACAATTTGTGCCCACCTTCAATTATAAAATGGCAAAAAAAGGTAAAAGGAGATAAAAAGCACGGAAATGTAAAAGCTAAAACGCAATCACTCTTGAAAGCTCACCTCATCTGCTCTTCGAAGAACTCCAGTAATAACCTACAAACGTTAAAAAAAAATTATTATAAACAACGTGTAGTTCCCTTATCAAACAAGAACTGGATTCAGTTTTCACGGATCACAAACTTGTATCTTGTTCTCTTCTTAGAGACTATGTCAAAAGATGTACTGGCTTTTTGAACATACAGTGTTCTGCAGGGGGTTCAGAGCAAAATTAAGATTTGATTCTTGACCTAAGATCAATAGTCCAATAAAGGCTAAGGTGAAATAATTACAAAACCTCCACATTATATTAGCAAAATTGTTCTGCATTCTCTAAACTGGATCCAAATGTGAGCCACACAGCGATCATACAGAGGAGCCTGGGTTCTACTACACATACACACACAGGAACAAAAGTCACGCTTTGCTACACACAGAGGAGTCTGTGCTCAACAAAGATTTATGAAGACAAGGGGAACTGTAGCTCCTCTTTTAAAAGATATTTTTTAATTTCAATTTGTACGTGATTTTTTATTTTTAAAATATGATATCCATGCCTTATATTAGTGGTGAAAAATACCTGAAGAAGGAAATGCTTTCTCATCATCCCATCATGCTGGATAACCATCATGAATCAGTTGCTTACGTTTTGGCCTATTTCCCCCCAATCCTTTTTTTATTCACTGCATATTTGTACATGACTGAGATTATACCAAATACACGATTTGGTCTATTTCTTAAAAACATTTTGTAAAGTAAGGACGGATGCCAGTCTTCTCCCTTCACCTCCTGCCTCAGTGAATTTCAGGATTACATGGGGCCATCATGAGGTCTACTTCATTCTTTGTTGGCATGCTATCAGTATTCTTCACACTTCATTAAAAAGCCATAAACACAATTCCAGGATCATTAGCACAGCCTTTCTAAAAGCAGCTTACTAAGGCTCACATAACTGCTAAGTCAAACACAGGACACTGCTCTGTCTGCTGTTAGCTCCAGATCCCTCGATACTGAGGAAACCACCAAACGGAGGCAAAAGGCCATCAGAAATGAGGCCCAACTGTGAATTATGGCCCACAGGATGGAAGGACTGAGCAGTAGGAGGGTCCCCTGCACGGGACTCTTCAGGGGCTTCTAATACGTAATGAAGGTTCCAGTCTGTTGCCCTCGAAAGGAAGAGCACTTCTAGGGCAATGTACTTACTGTCCTTACTGGACCAGAGTAAGCATTAGGGACATGAAATTTTAAAACAAAGGCAGATACATACACCTGAACTTGTAGATCCCTGCCTCTAACTATACTACTAGGAGAGAACATTCCATGCAATGGAAATGATGTGAGAACAGAAGCATTTTTTTCAAAAGGGGATCTAAGTTTATTTTATTTATTTTATAAGAACCATCCCTCATAATTAAAACTGATTCCCTAACTCCCTAACACACAGGGCTACTCCATCAGTTTCCAAAACGTAAAAAGCTTATCAAACCCACCACATTTCTTCTCCTTATTTATTCAATTTTATCCTACTTAAATTTGACAAAACAAAAATCCTATACGCTGGGTATAAAGTTTATACAAAACAACAGAATAAAAGTGCATGACAGAAATGTAATGCTACACCTGTTTCAGGGAGTAGGAATCCTAAAAAAATAAATTACAAAGAATTTCCTTAAATTATAACCACTTTATGCCGTTGTTCTAAGATCTAATTTCCATTTTATTCACTTTCAAAATGGTTTTGAAAAGAAAAACAGCCATACCTCCTGCAATGTACCATCTCCTCCTGCAACGATGATCACATCTGTGTTTTCCATCAGTTCCAGGAGTTTCTTGGCTTGGCCCTCATAATCGGTCTGAAATACAAAAGAAGTCTTTGGTAAATTTCCCATCCTAGGGCCATAAAAATCAAAGATTTAAAAATATGGGACATTTTCCTTAAAGTTCAACACAGAGTCTTTCCTCAAATTCTACATAATTGATAGACACGAAAAATTCAGTAGCTATCAAAGCAATCCTGTATATAGTTTTGCACTGTTTAGAGTTGGAAGGGACCTCAGAAACCATCTTTAACCTTCCCTTAAAAATAAAACCCAAGCCCAGTGATCTGTCTCAAGTTATACAGTTAGCTAGTCAAAGGACTCATTTCCAGGCCAGTGCAGAATCTATTATACCATTTACCCAGCACCTTTCACCTGAAAGCAGGAAGTCAAGTGTATATGCAAATAGAGAGCCACCGACGTAATGAAAAGAGCACAGATTTGGGAGCCCAAAAGACCCAGATTAAACCCCAACTCTGCTACTTTTCAGCTGAGTGGCCTTAAACTCTAAGGACCTTAATTGCCTTACCAATGAAATTATGTGTGTTGGGGTTGGGGTTGGGGTTGGGGTAATAATAGCTTCCCCATGGTACTGTGGTAAAGCAGTATATAAAGCAACTAGCAAGTAACTGTTCATGACTGGTACTGTACTTAAATGAAAGGCTGGGTTTTGCTGATTATACAACAAAGTACAGGTGTGACTCAGAGTAGTGACAAAACAGTACTAAACCTCACCATTTTTATTGAGAGTATTTCCTCTCAGATATGTATGCAGGCTTCAATGAATCATCTAAAACACTGCCTCTAAAACCAAACATTAAATTCTAGAACGCATAATGCAGCTAACGCTAACATGGGAAACATCCTCTCTCCTACTGACACGGTACTAGACACACTAATAGACAAAAATTAAAAATGTGAATTTCAGATGGGCTAGAGCACCTGAGCACAGATAACAGAGGAAAAAGGAAGTCCCTAAACTAACACTATGAATTTTATGAGGAATTATTCCATTTTTATTCTAAAAATGAAATGGCTGGCTTTATAGTTACACATTTGCAAATAGTAAATTTTTTTAAAAGAATATATGCCAATCCTTATTAAAAGAATGGTTTGTGAGTACCCTGAAATAAGCGATCACTGGGAATCAGTATGGGTTTGCTAAGAATGAGGCATTTCAGACTATCCTCAACTTCTTTGGCATTAACTAGATCAACAGATAAAGGAAACCAGACAGACATTGTATCTGCCCTTCAGCAAGGCACCTGGTAAGCTATTTGATGACATCCATGGGGACAAGATGGAGAAATGTGGAAATAATATGCTAGAATACAAGTAGGTTAGTTAATTACCAACTGAAGGTCTGTGCTCCAAGTGAGGAGCTCAGTGGAGTGACATCAAATTGCAGGTAGATTCCTAGTGACATTACTTTAGGGCTTTCCCTTGAGCCTTTTTTTTTTTTTTTAAAGTAGGCTCCACAGTGGAACCCAACTCGGGGCTTGAACTCACAACTCTGAGATCAAGACCTGAGCTGAAAGCAAGCACCAGATGCTTAACAGACTGAGCCACCCAGGTGCCTGGAGCCTTTTTCTATACAGTGCTATCAACAACAGAGGTGAAAGGCAACTTACTGAATATGCAAATGACAATCTTTTACAAAACAGACACTGGCCTCCTTACTCCTCAAACATGCCGAGTATACTCCTGCTTCAAAGTCCTGATCATGCAGTGCAACATCCTTAGCCCCGATTCCCTCCCTTCCGCGTCTGCAGTACTCACTCACTTGCCTCAGGTCTCTGCTGAATAGTCATCATCTCAAACGGGTCTTCCTTCACCTTCTGAACTAAACTAACACCCCATTACTCCTGGTCCCCTTACTTGGCTTGACTTTCTTCATGGCACTCATCACCATCTGACAAACCATGTTTATGTATCTGTTTCTTTATCTGCATCTCTCCCTTTCCCACTTCGAATAGAAGCTCTTTGGGGACAGACATGGAAAGTTTATTTTGTTCAGACTGTATCCCCAATACCTAGAACAGGGTTTAGCTCACAGGAAGGAGTCAATAAATACCAGCAAAAAAATATTAATAAGTGTAAGTACACAAATGAAAGAACCAAAAATCAAAAATATTTCAACAGATTTAATAGGCCATAATTTAAAAGACAACATTTATAGAGATAACCTACTTGAGGCTCTGGTGTTAAGAAGAAAATTCCAAATGCAGCAACAAAGCAAGGATTAAAAAAAAAAAAGTGGCCTAATTGTATTAAATAAAGAAAAGTGAATCAAGACAATAGGTAGCATAACATGATACTAGAGAATTGTTACTTTTGCTGGGTATGATAATGACACTGAAGTTACGTAGAAAAGTAGCCTTATTATTATTATTTTTTTAAGTGCACACTGAAGTATCGAGGGGTAAAATGACATGATGTCTATCATTTACTTCAGAGAACCCAGCTACCAGGTGAAGACGCCTGCTGGGGGCCACACGAGCCAGACAACAGCCAGCCCGACCTACCGATGTGTGAGGCAGGACTTCCCTGCTCAGCCATGCCATGGAGGGCCCCAGGTGTGACCAGCACAAGGGCAGCTCTGAACAGACTGCTGACCAACAGAATCGGAAGCAAAGAACCAGTTGTCAAGGTAGTTTGTTATGTAGCAGTAGATAACTCGTATAGAAATAAATGTAGCAATAATTACAATAAAATGTTAATGGACTCAGGGACCCAGGAAAAAGACCAAAAAAAGATTGGATCTTTTAAATACTGTTTTCATGCCTTACCAATAAAGCCTCTAAAATATAAAGATACAAAAAGGCTGAGAGTAAAGGGATAAAAATATTACACCAAGCAAAACCCAACCAAAGTAATAGTAGAGTCCCTAGGAACACTAGATAAGATATAGACAGACTGGGGCCGAGGCAGTACTGGTGCTGAAGAGAATCGCTCTAGGACAGGGTCAAAACACGAGAAAAATGAAGCCATGTGAAACCTGAGAGCATCTACTGACATCATCTCAAGATATAAAAAGCAAAAATGAACTACAAAGGGAAAGAGAAAAATCCCCAATAACAGTGGGAGATTTCCAAAAGCCCCCTCTCAATATAGTTAAAGCAGAAGAAAAAATGAGTAAGGACACAGAAGACTAGAACCACACAATGAACAGACTTGACTTACTGGACGTGTGCAGAACTGGTACCCAATAATGAAAACAAAACACACACTAGGCTATTAGTGGACCATAACGCAATTAAGTAAGAAATCAATAACAAAAAGATAACTAGAAAAACTTTATATTCGGAAATTTAAAAACATGTCTAAATAACTCATAGGTCAAACAAAAACCATGATGGGAATTAGAAAATATTTTTAAATGAATGATAATGAAAATATTATATATCAACACTTAGAAGATGCAGTTGGAGCAACAGAGGGAAATTTATAGCTTTCAATACATAGGATAAGGGTAAAAAATAAGCACCCATGGGGCGCCTGGGTGGCTCAGTTGGTTAAGCGACTGCCTTCGGCTCAGGTCATGATCCTAGAGTCCCGGGATCAAGTCCCATGTCGGGCTCCCTGCTCAGCAGGGAGTCTGCTTCTCCCTCTGACCCTCTTCCCTCTCGTGCGCTCTATCTCTCATTCTCTCTCCCTCAAATAAATAAATAAAATCTTAAAAAAAAAAAAGCATTCAAGTTAAAATGTGAGAACAGAACAGCAGAAAAAAAATCCAAAGTAGAATAAAGGAAATAGTAAAAACAGACTAGAAATTCATGAAACGAACATAAATGAGGATCAACAAGCCAAAAAATGATTCTTGACAAGGATTAACTGACATACCTCTTACAAGACTATTGAGAGAAAAATAAGAGGGCACAAATAAAATGAAGAATTAAAACAAGATATTACAAATGTTACAGAAACTTACAAGCTAAAAATTGGAAATTATTAACTTGATACCAATTAATTTGGAACCTAGATGGAAGCAGCAAATTCCTTGAAGATGTTGCACCAAAATTAATTCGAGAATAGAACTTGACTACTTCTAGAACCATTAAAGACATTTAATATACAAAACATTTTCCCCTCAAAGACAGCTCCAGGTACAGATGGTCTGATCGGAGTTCACTCGAACATTCAAGGAAGATCTCTTACGTAAGTACTCTGGGCTCTCTCACACGTAGAGTTTAACGTGCGTTACAAACACTCACATCAATGTCAGTTTTCTTCCCCTTTCTCCCATCCCTGGAGACAGACACCTGGAAGACCACATTGCAGACCAGGTGGACAAAAGAGTTCAACGTTTCATGGTAAGCTGGACTAAATTACCTTTTCATCTCTGATTTCATGAAAATGTGTAATATTAGAAATACACCACAGACTTACAAACGTGACAACAGAGTGATTTTTCACCAAATGCACACACCTGAGTGCACACCACACACTTATCACTTAAAAGTCAACAGGGTGGAGTCTTAGGGCATCTTCTGTCTAGCACAATTCCTTCTAACTTATTTTTGTCCCTTTTTCTTAGCTAAATATTGCAAATTCTAAAGCTTTACCATTGAAAAGTCCTCACCAGAGAGAAAATGTTTACCTGTCTGTGGAGCTACCAAGAAATTAACTACTCAAAGTGGAAATATTTTTATTTTTAGGAAAAGAATTCTTACAGCTATAACTACTTTCATCTTCCAAGAGACAATGATTCCACATCCCAGCTTTCAGATGAAAGGAACCAAGTTCATGCCTCCATCTAATCTTATTCTGAAAATGAAAAGCTGACAATGCTTTGAGAAAAAACAAAACCACTTTTATTAACGATCAGAACAAAGACACGTTGATCTCTCTGCTCCCAGCTTCTTACGTGATAAGTGATTTCTGCTACAAAGTCAAGAGAAGAGGGTAAGTCACAAGGAGTGGTAGCTCGGATAAAATCAACACTCTGGAGTGTTCTTACCTTAACGACAGTCACATCCATGCCAGATAAGTGTAAAATCGGGGCAGCATTTTTTTCAAATAGAGTCCTTGCTTTGCTGTAAAGGAAAAAAAACAAAAATTTTGACACGAGTTCTCAAGAGGAAGAAAAAATAGCCCAACCATCTTCGCTAGAGTAGAACAAGAAACAGCCTGAGAAACACAGGTTTCCTTCTTTTGTGCAAGTGCAGGAAGTTGAACAATGAGTCATTGGGTTCTACAGATAGAAATGGAGACGCTAACACCCTGGCGCCTCCAGGAGTTTACTTTCTAATGCAATCAGCTATCACCATTTGGGATGCTTGCAGTTCATTATCTAGTTCCTCTAGAGGAAGAATGTAACACTACATATGGCCCCGCTCAGGACACAATGCTTGATTCATTCAGCAAGTATTTATTGAGCACCTACTACATGCTAGACACAGGGTGTAGGAGCCAGGGATACAAGAAGACAAAGCGGACAAAACACCTGCAACTTAAGTAGGATGTAATAAGTCCTCATAGAACTTATTTATATTCCAGTGGTAGAGGGAGGACAGTGTATTTAATATTTTTCATGTGGCCTGAAGGAATAAATGTATTAATTCTAACTCAGTGGATATACAACCTTTGAGGGAGAAATACATCCTTTTTAACAATTTCATATACTAGAGGTATCTCCATTTCTTGGATTTCAAACCTGTCGTGAAATCCCTGGAGAAGGAGCAAAATTCTTTTCCATGATGGCAGAAATTCTGCTAAGAAAAGGAAAGTCTGAAATTATCTAATGCAACTTTAGGATAATGGGCAGCTTGTCTGAAGCTCCCAGGCAGTCACATCCTTCTCTTTGCGGCCCCATCACTTTGTATACACCCCTGTGAGGAATTTCCATATGGCATGACAATCAGTGATTTGCAGGACAGTCTTTGGGATGAGACTGGAAACCTTGCAAAAACAGACACCAAATATTATAATCCTAGAGCCCCCCCAGCCTCTAGGATTATGTCTGGCACACTCAGAAGATACTTAATAAGTATCTGATGAATTAATGTACTAATGCGTGAATAAATGAACCTGCCCCAAATGCAGACATGTAAATTCTGCAGGAAAGGAAACAGCAGGATTTTGAAGTCTTGTGAGAACAGAAACAGTTAAAGAGCCCTTTGAAAAGAGAGAAAGAGAGAGAGAGAGAGAGAGAGAGAGAGAGAGAGTGTGTGTGTGTGTGTGTGTGTGTGTGTGTGTTTTAAAAGCATCGTACACGGGCACCTGGGTGGCTCAGTTGGTTAAGCGACTGGCTTCGGCTCAGGTCATGATCCTGGAGTCCCAGGATCGAGTCCCACATTGGGCTCCCTGCTCAGCGGGGAGTCTGCTTCTCCCCCTGCGCCTCCCCCCTCTCGTGCTCTATCTCATTCTCTCTCTCAAATAAAATCTTTAAAAAATAAAAATAAAATAAAATAAAAGCATCAACACATCATTCTGACAGTGACTCTTGTCCAATTCCAGGCAGGAGTCGGAAACACAGCCCAGGAATCAAGGGATGCAAAAGTTGCAAGAAGTCCCCAGTGGCATGGTCTCAAAGTTAAACATGCCTATCAGTGGACCTGTCTTTCACCCAAATATTTTCAACTATCTCATCAGGGAAAAAAAAGCAAACAAAAACTAGAACTTTCGAAACAACAGCGAACATGTAACTTTCACATCCACATTTACTCAGTCCTCTTTCAAAGATTTTTTTTTTTAAACCAGTGATGCATGCTTTGACTCTCTTAAGAGTATTTTATACTAGAATTCTAGAGATGCTAAGGTAGCTAATGAGGAGCATGTATAGTCATGCACAAACCAAATTCAACATTCTTTAAAAAGAAACCACCAAATGGCAGACAGAAGCATGTAACATTTCTTATGAATTAAAATAGAAATGGGAGAAATTGGACAAATTTTCACAAGGACCATTCAAAAAAAAGTATCTCAGACCAAGGGCCTACCTGAGCATGTTGTAAGCAAATTATACAAATATCCCCTGCCCTTTCTCCTGACCTGAATGCTTATTCGAATGAACGGGAAAGGCTAAATGAAAATTCCCTCTTTCCAGCTCACCACTTCTGGGGTTTAACCCAACAACAAAGGGCTAAGCTAGTGATACTACAAATGTTTCCCCTTCCAGGGTTGTTTTCGTTACTGGATTGATAAGAAAAGATCAGCTGGAGGTAGATCAGCTCTATCTGAGAAGCAAAACTCTGGACAAGACTCAATCAGCTGTATTAATCATTTCTAACAAATCTGTAAGATCCTCCAAGTTAAAGAAATAATGATTTGAACATTTGGGTTTTTATTCACATCTTTATGTGATGCCACAGCTGTGGAAAATCTCTAAAATTCTAATGTTCCCTAAAAAAGATTGAAAAACAAGTGCTACCAGTAAGAAATGCATTATTTATTATATAATTAAAGGTGAGACAGCACCGGAGCTAAATAAAAACTTTATATACCTACTGCAATTTCCAGGTTCACGTACACACACAAAAATTACTTCTTAATGTATTATTTATTAATGCTGTTTTAAACACACAGTTATCTTACTTCTTAAAGTGCCTATGTAGTTTTAAAACCAGTACTACATAATGAAATAGCTACATGATGAATTATATATTATGTGTCAGAGTAGAGCCAAGGTGACAAAAATAGTGCAATTAAATAGTGAAAGCTTTAGGGAAAAAAAAAAAAGATGCTGGAGAGCTTCAGAGTGGCTGATACCCAGAAGCACGCGGGGATTCACCTTGCTAAAGGGGACAATAACTGTAGCAGACTTTCCCTAGCCTCACCTTTAAAGATAAAAATATTCTACTTTTAAACAATAATCCAACTTTAAAAATGCCAATACATTTACATGTAAAAATATAAACAGAACCTAAAACTGCTCTAAAAAAGTTTGTTTTTTAATGTAATTATCCCTTATAAGTAGGAACTTTTAAAAGTAACAGATTATAGCTTAAACAAACTGCCACATATTTTTCTGTATCAGACATAGCAAGTTCCTAACTAACTAGGTCTCTAAAGGAATAGAACCTAGAACAGTTATACTAAAGTAGGCAGAGGGAGAGCTACAAGCACTTTCGGGAAGGGTGGGGGAGCAAAGTAGAGACTGTTTTGAACCTAGCCGACTGGTCAGTAATAATCACAGTGGCTTCTATTCCCTTCGCCCAGTGCTTACCATGAAATGGAAACGCTGAGCACATCATAGGCATCATTTCACTTAATTGCAAAGGCACCTATTCTATATGGCAATTTTATAAGGTATGAGCTATTACTTTTCCCACTTTACAGATGAGTGCACTGAGGATTGAAGCTAAGTAACTCCCTTATCACAGAGCAGAAGAATATACAAGTCCCATCCTCCAAACCCCGGAGCCAGTATGGTTCTCCGCTAGCTTCTGCCACGGGCCACCCCTGTTCAGTTATCTTAGAGATTTTGATTGTGTTGTGTGAGAACGTGTTCACTGGTTGGTATTGTTTAGTATTGGTATTGAACAAGAATGATCAATAGGCATTAAGACTGGTGTTAACGGGGGAGGGAGGCGGCTCTAACAAAGCCCATCCGGTAGGATTCAATTAGGCAGAGTCACAGAGCCAGTTTAGACAATCTGTAGGTAAATATCTTAAACTGCAGAATTCAAAATAAGGCGTGGTGTGCTTGGGTGGCTCAGTCAGTTAAGCGTCGACTCTTGATTTCAGCTGAGGTCGTGATCTTGGGGTTGTGAGACCGAGCCCGGTGCCAGGCTCCATGCTGCGTGTGGAGCCTGCTTAGGAATCTGCCTCTCCCCCTCTGCCTCTCCCTGCTTGAGCTCTCACTCTATCCAAAAAAAAAGGCATGATTTGTCCTTCTATCTGTAAAGCCACATTCACTCTCTCAAATTACTAGAGAAACTTATTTCAGAACTCCTGCGTCTTACACAAGACTAGTTACAAGCTGGTCCCAACTAGTCTTTTTGTTGTTGTTGTTCTTAGTATCTTGATGCCATCTAAGATCTTATAGAATCCAACCTAACACATATTTTTTTTTAAGATTTTATTTATTTGACCGAGAGAGAGAGAGCGAGCGAGCGAGCGAGAGAGAGCGAGCACCCTAGCAGGGGGAGCGGCAGAGGGAGAGGGAGAAGCAGGCTCCCTGCTGAGCAAGGAGCCCAACACAGGGCTTGACCCCGAGGGTCCTCTCAGGATGCTCAGAACCCTGAGCTGAAGGCAGACACAACCGACTGAGCCACCCAGGCGCCCCAGAACCCAACCTAATACGTATTTATTAATTTTCCAATCCTCAAAAAAGACAAAGAATTGTTTTGGTTGCTAGGGATAATAAAAGATATCACTCCCCACCCCACCCCACACAGCTTTTTCATTCTTACTATTTTTAAAAAATAATTTTAAGTTTTAAATGATTTCTTCTAAAAACCTTCAACAACGTCTTTTTTATTCACCTCTCCAACTGAATGAGAACTGCCACGATCATTGAAACAAATTTTTTTTTGCTTATGGTACTTTTTAAAAAATTTAGACTTTATTTTTTAGAGCAGTTTTTAAGTTCAAAGTAAAAATGAGTGGAAAACAGAATTTCCATGGGCCCTTTGCCCCGTTACACACACAGCCTCCCCCACTTTCAACATCCTGCACCAGGGTGGGACCTTTGTTACAATAAATGAACAGAAATACGTGATTATCAAGCAAAGTCCCAACTATTCTTCACACCTGAATTCCCACAATTCCCTCACACAACTCTTCTAGGTCAGCTAGACCAGGTCACAGACTGGCCTGCAATACAGCAAGGGACATGACTAGTTACCCCTGTGGCTAGGCCCCCGCTGCCCCAAGCTGTTTCCTCAGTCAGGAAGACTGAGTGTTCTCCCTCCGCTGACCTCCAAGATCTAGCTCAAGGTTCACTCCTTTTAGAAAGAATGTTTCTGATTTCACAAGCCCACAATGTTCTTGGCCATTGTGGAACATCCTGGAACAGAGAAGTCGTAATCATTTATATCACAACAGCAGGAACTATCCCCAAGCAGGTTAAGATTCACTTGAGAGTATTAATTCTGGGATTTTTTTTTTTTTAAGATTTATTTTAGGGGGGAGCAGAGGGAGAGAGCAAGGATCCTGAAGCCGACTCCCCACTAAGTGCACAACCCAACAACAGGACTCAATCCCAGCCCCCTGAGATCACGACCTGAGCCGAAACCAAGAGTTGGCCGCCCATCCGAGTGAGCCACCCAGGCACCCCTAATTCTGGGATTTTTATTAAATTTCAATTAGACAAGTTTGCCAAGCATCAGTTAGCTTTACAGTTATAGCTCATTAACTGCTATTTCTCCATTACAAATTAATCTCATTGCTAGATGAGTAGGGAACCTACTTCTTCCAATTCTACACAGTCCAACTAGCTTCCTGATATTCTGTGACACCCCCCCCCCGGCCCGCAGGAAAACTGAGTATGTGACAAATCACAAACTGAACTACCCTCTGCAAGCTGCAGGATTGAGAAAAACCGTCGCCTTCTTCACTTGTGCGTTGGGAGGAATGAGTTGATTGCCAAACACCTAAAAAGGAAAAAAGGAAAGTTTTAAGCAAATACCCTTTATTCAGTTAACGATTAAATATATTCTTTCATTCCAAAGGAATTTACTTCCAGGAGACATGGTACCTACTCTGGGGGTAAAAGTGTTCTTTCATGATTTCATATTGACAAAAAATACCATGAACAACAACCAAGTCTACCATTATTTAATGACAATCAGCTAAATTTTGTAATAAAAAAAAAAACCCTGCTTCATCTACTAAAGGTAAGTAACTTTTCTAAGATGTGGCTAGGTTTATTATAAACACATACCCAGCAAGGCCACAGTCTGTCAAAAGTAAAGTTTAATCCACCTGCCCATAGTCTTCAGAGTATAATCTTTTTCTCCTTCAATTTATTACTAAAGCTTATTCATAAAGAACTTTTGTGATACCAATTAATCTTCATATTTTCATACCTGTAAAAAATAAACCTAATAGTCTATTTGCCTCCTCCTCTTTGCAACTTTGTATAACTTGATAACTAAATAGCATCAACTAGGGGATTAAGGAATGCACTTGTGATGAGCAATGGGTGGTGTATGTAAGTGATGAATCACTACATTCTACTCCTGAAACCCATTTTACCATATATGTTAACTAACTAGACTTTAAATAAAAACTTGAAATAAGAACAATAATAATAAATAGCATCAACTGACAAGGAAAAGAAATATAATCTATATTTACTAACCACCTAGTATTTGCTGCTGTCCTACACATTATTCTTAGCTCTCAGAAACTTAGGACGTATTAAATGTTCTCACTTTAATAGTTCAGAAAACCAAGATGCAGAAAGATTAAGTCAAAGTCCCACAGTTAATAAATTACAAGCCTAGAATTTACATCTAACTCCAAAACCCCAACGTCTACTCTGTCAGCTCTGAACAGCAGATGGAGGAGGCAGAGTTCAGAGGCACACAGAACCAGATGTGCAGCCTCAAAATAAGAACTAACATGAGCTAATGCTATTCCACCTGGACTGAAGAAGACCACCAACAAAAATGAGGAAAACACCATAGTCAAAATGCTGAGTCTTTGTTGGTGGGGAGCAGGTCTGGGCCAAGGAGGCGGAATTCAGGTATGGAAGCACAAAGACAGGAGAAAAATGAGTTACACCAAGATTTTTATTAAGTGACTCTCTTATTAAGTGACCACCACCTCCCTGACAGTCCACCAGGGAGCCGTTCTCTCCCTGGTCTATTTCTTGCTTTAAAACAAAACAAAACAAAAAATACACTTTTTCTGAATGCTTCAGAAAGAAATATTGTTTCCTGAATTCAACCTTAATATTCTGCTGCCAAATCTCCAAACATTGTAATGTGCTCTTTTTCTATCCATAGTTTTTCTGGAATGTGGCCAGAAATTACTCAGTTAGCCAGTTTCTCTGGCCTACCAGACTCCAGATCTACAGTTCCAGATTATTCTTTGTCTTAGTTTCTTACCTACCTGCAACTCCAGGCGCAGGTTTACGGTGCGTTAAGGAGCTTATGTAAGACTACAGTGAGTTGAGATTATGTGAGATTAAAAAAATCACTCTTTCAAGAATTTAGTCTGTAAAGGGAAGCCATAAACAGGAAAAGTAACTGGAGTAGGCTCTAAGGATGAATTCGCTTCCATTTGCCAGATGGAAGGAGCTCCATGGGTGCTGGGAAGGAACAAACTCCAGCCATGGGAAGAGGTAAGTATAGAGAATGAGCAGCGACTGGAGGAAGAGTCTCTGAGAAAGGACGAAACGGCATTCAGCGCAGATGGGGAAGAGGCATATTGCTTCAACAAGAAAGAGGAACCTGTGACCACTCTTCCTTTGGGAGACCAAGAAAAGGCTCCCTTCCCAAGCTTTTCTACTTGCTAATGGAAAATTAGCTCAGGGTGGGGAATCACCTCACCTTGGGGTGGGGATCATTCGTTTTCAAAACAGCAGAGCCATAGGGGATAAAACAAAAGAGTAATCAAATTCTTAAAACACAGTTTTAGAACACTTAGATCACCACCAAAGAGAGGAATGTATTAATACTATCTATTGTCATTGTCATCTGTGAAAACATTTTGGTAACAAACATGAGGTCTGCCACCCAATAAAATACATCATACCTTTGTCATTTTTTACCTCAGTTTCTTTTTTTGGTATTTCTGATATCATAAGCTTAAACGACATACAACAAAAAGGCAACTCAGTCATGGAAATTCACCTGCAAGGCATAACGTACAAACTTGGAAGGGAGGGAAGAACAAAAAGGTGGTCTTGAACTCCAAATTATAAATTATAAATCTGTAATTTAACAACAATACCGCCAGATAGGATTATTTAAGTGCAGTATCATGGGCCTGGGAGAACAATGCACACATGGTACGAATCAGCTGTGCTAAACAGACAGGCTTTAAAAATATGAATCAACAGCTTTAAAGAAGATTTGACTTTAAGGGGTAACACCTGTTCTGAACAGAAATCCTTGGGGGTTATTTGGATCAGGGAAGATTCAGGGCTTAGCACGATCTTTAAGGACAACCACAGACAGGAACAAATTCCCAGAGCTCCAACCAGCCCATGTATGTGATCTTAGGACTAATCCAGAAGTAAACAAGTCTAAAGGGGTGGGCGTTAGAACTGCTCTTCACCAGATGGTTAACTTCCTCCTGCTCTGTTCCGAGCTGGCTCTTGGCCTAACTCATCATCCCCTGATAGTAGGGGAAAAAAATCCACACTGCACCGATGCAAGGCACCGTGCTGGTCCCCTGGAATAGCCCGAGTTTTCTGCGCAACGGAGATTAAGCAGGTTTTAATTTTAGCACATTAAATTATATTACCTGAGCTTCTTGACAGGCTGCTCTCCTTAGCAGGTTGTCACTATCAAAGTAAACAAAGAGAATGAACATCAGCTTTAATAAGCAGGTTACGATCCAAACAAATAAAACTTTTTTTTCTTTTTTAAATATGCACAACTCTTTCCTATAAAACCCAAGTGAAAGTTTCTTAAAGACCTGTGACACATTATAAGCACATGTGAAAAGTACTTTCTCTGAGTGAAATCCTGTGTTATTTCCATAGAATGGTAGGCAAAAGACCCCCTCCCTCCAAGATGTCTACATCCTCATTCCCAGAACATGAAAATATATTATCTTAGGTGGCAAAGGGGATAAGTTTAGGATCTGGAGATGGGAAGATAATCCTGGATTATGCAGGGGAGCCTAATCTCATCACAAGGGTCCTTAAAAGCACAGAACATTTTCCTGGCTGTGATCAGCAGCAAATGTGACTGTGGAGAAAGGGTCAGAAAGGTGCAAGCTTGCTGGCGCTCAACACGGGAGGAGTCCACAAGTCAAGGAATGCGGGTACCCTCTAGAAGCTGGAAAAGCAAGGAAATGGCTTCTCCTCTAGAGCCTCCAGAAGGAATGCAATCCTTGCTGACACCCTGACTTTAGTGCAGTAAGACCGGTGTTGGACTTGTAACCCACAGAACTGTAAGATAATAGATGTGTGTTGTGTGAAATCACAAAGTTTGTGGTAATTTGTTAGCGCAGCAAGAGAAGATTAATGCACATATCCTGCATTTTTCTTATCCAGTGGAAATTACTCAGTTCATTTGCCAGAAATAAATTTGATGTTTAGTTGCTTTTGCTACTGTGTTAGCTCTTATTTTTTATATCTCTGTCAGACATTCAATTACAGCACAAGTGGGAAATTTTGGCATGAGGTGAAACTGTGGCTTGCAAAAATGAAAACATTCTATCAGAACAATGTTCATCTATGTAACATAAAGGTTCCTAAAATGTGTTTATACCATTTATTCTGTAAGAGCACTTTAAATGGCTGATTGCCCACCAGGCGCCAGAATCTTCTCGTTGAGTCAACTCTAATGCGAGTTGCTGGCATTGCTAAGATAGTAACTTCAACCTGGTTAACGACAGTTAAAAACACTCAGCCAATAAACAATTTATAGCAAAGAACTAAAAAGAGAAAAGGTTCTTTCACTTAAATTCTTTCCTAAAAAAAAAATCTCTTCCTAGACCTTCCTTCTAACATTGAAGACCTTGAATTTTGCATTTTTACAGTTATTCAAAACCTAATTTTGATAGTTAAGTCTGAACTAAAAGAGATTAAACAACCTTTTGCTTTTTACCCAGCTGCTGTCCAAGGCTACACAATAATTTTCCTTCCACAGCCAGGCTGGAGAACCACCTCTAGATGTCAAAAAGCAGTCGCTTTAGCAAGAAAGCACCATGTGTGGGGAAAGAGCAATGCTGCTGTCTGTGGGTATTTACTCAAAGAATACGAAACCACTTAATTTGAAGGGATATGTACACCCCTATGCTTACAGCAGCATTTTCTACAAGAGTCAAATTATGGAAGCAGCCCAAGTGTCCACTGACTGATGAATGGACAAAGAGGTGGGGTGTACACACACACACACACACACACACACACACACCTATACATATACATACACAAACATCTATACATATATGCATACATAAACACACATAGACACACATCTATACATATATGCATACATATACATACACACACATCTACACATCTATACATATACACACACATCTATACATCTATACATACATATACATCTATACATCTATACATACACACACATCTATACATCTATACATATACACAACATCTATACATATACATACACACACATCTATACATATATGCACACATGCACACACATCTATACATACATACATATACACACATCTATACATCTATACATACATATACACACATACATATATCCATACATATACACACATCTATACATATATGCATACATATACATACACACATCTATACATATATACATACATATACACACATCTATACATATATACACACATACAGATACACACACATCTATACATATATACACACATACACATCTATACATACATGCATACACATACACACACATCTATACATACATGTACACACACACCTATACATATATGCATGCATATACATACACATCTATACATATATACATACATATACACACATTTATACATCTATACATACATATACACACACACCTACACATCTATACATACGTACATATACATACACACATACACACAATGGAATATTATTCAGCCATAAAAAAGAGTGAAATCTTGCCATTTGCAAGGGAGCTAGAGAGTATAATGCTAAGTGAAATAAGTCAGGGAAAGACAAACGCCATATTTCATTCATTCATATGTGGAATTTAAGAAACAAAACAAGCAAAGGGAAAGAAAAAGAAATTAAGAAACAGACTCCTAACTAGAGAGAACAAACTGATGGTTACCAGAGGGGAGGTGGGTAAAATCAGTGATGGGGCTGAAAGAGGGCACTTGTGATGAACACTGGGTGACACGTGGAAGTGCTGAATCACTCTATCGTACACCTGAAACTAATAGAACACTGTATGTTAACTATACTGGAATTAAAATTCAATTTAAAAAATACTGCCCATCTGAAACCTAAGAACAATGTTCAATTAAAATTACAACACCATACCTCAAAAATGCATGCTGTTCTATAATAAACATTTTAGGAGGACTAATCCCTTGTGAAGTCTAGTCCACAAGGCACCTTAATTGCCAGGCTCAGTCCCCACTTACTTGAGTGATGTTGCCCCACTATTCCCCTGCGGCAAAAGGTAGGTGCATAAGCTTCTCTCCCTTCCCCCATGCAAGATTCATGAACATTCACGTTTTGCTCTCCTACCCAAATGCTCTCCAGCAACTGCTCTCGGTGAATCATCCTAATAGCAACGAGTATATAGATCTTACACACATACATACAAGATGAGGTCAATTCAAGGTACTATTCTGTACCTTGAATTATATATATATATTTTTAAAGATTTTATTTATTTATTTGAGAGAGAGAATGAGATAGAGCATGAGAGTGGGGAGGGTCAGAGGGAGAAGCAGACTCCCTGGCGAGCAGGGAGCCCGATGCGGGACTCGATCCCGGGACTCCAGGATCGTGACCTGAGTCGAACGAAGGCAGTCACCTAACCAACTGAGCCACCCAGGCGCCCACTGAATTTTATGTATTTAAAAATAGTATGTCAACAACCCTTTATAGTTGACTCTGACACCTCCCATTCATGACCTCTATACAATGATGAGGTAAGATACTAAATCCTTAGCAACCGCTAGATCACCAAATAAACCTGCGTTCCTTGTAGTAACCTGAGCATTGTCACTGGATCCCCCTGGATTAGGCTAATCCTCAGTCCAGCTTCCACACTAGCCCTGGTGGGGAGGGGGCACCACTACCACCACAAGAACCACACAGAACTGTGCTCCTCCAAACACTTACTGTTTTTTTCCCTATAGATAGAATAACCTGTGCCTCCAGTCTCTTCTACGATGAACGCATCCTACAGATTGTTCTGTACAAGCTCTCTATACTACTATAAAGGCTGTATATCTGCCTGTACATCTCTGTCCATTTCCCCAGCTGGCTCCTCCCCTCCCACGAGGGGCAGGCCTCTGAAGGTGCCAGGCTCCTCGGGGTCATTAGTAAGATACCATCTTCCTTACTGCATTTCAGCCACATGGATTCCTGTGGGCCTAGATGAAAAGAGAATGGCCCCAAACACATACAAGAATACAGCACCTTGGATCACGGTTTCCTAAATTCTTTTTTGCTAGTAGTAAAATTTTCGATGTTAACTTGTGATTAAGTATATGATTAAAGACCTCAGTTCTCTTGAGCTTGCTAATACTGCTTGATTTATCAGAGTGCTATTCAAAAATCAAGATTTCTTTATAATTATTTCCCTGGATTTTAATGTGCCAGACGGAATACACTGTCAATGCCACCTGTGAGAAAGCTAGAATATGTACCAATTTAAATACTATAAAAGAAAATCTCATTATAATCATACTTAATTTTTTTAAATATCAAAAATGGTATTAACCATCTTGATTTTGCTCCCTGAACCAAGCTGTTTCTAAAAATAAAACATGTCCTCAAAGAAAAAAGATTTCTCCCATTGATATACTCTGATCGTCGATAGCCAGCTCTGGAAACTATTTCAAAAAAGAAATTCCAAAAATGTTCCAGGAAAGGCATTTTTATTGGAATAAAAGAGAAAATAACTTGAAATTCATGGAACAATCCCATGTGCCAGATACTACAGCAGCTGTTTTCACAAACCTTTAACCTTTGTAACAACCTTGCAAGACAGACATTATATTCTCATTTTATAGTCGAAGAAGTTAAGACTCAGAGAAGGAATGGACTTGTCCAAGATCACCGTGTTATTAAACAGTAGACTAGAATTCCAACCCATTCCAACCTGACGCTAAAATAAACGCTTTAATGCTTTTTCTTAATTCAGACAACAATGAATGCACAATACTCATTAGTATATAGATTTTATAGCACATTCATTAATCACATTGCTTCCTAATTTCATCTAATTTTTAAAATTTACATTCATAGTGTTTTTTTATAAGTTCAAGTGTGATAAAGCTCCCAAAAGTAGCAGGTGAAATCACCTCACTTAACACAAAGTGCTGGGTATGGTACAATGACCCAGATTTGGTCCTGACCTGAAGCAGCTTCAGATCACGTGGCGAAGAACAGCTCTTGGCAAGTATCGGTGATAAAGTAAGAGACCTGTTTCTTGATAAAGGATGTGCCAGGCACTGTGCTAGGTGTGGATATACTGGTGAATAAGCCCAGCACTCCCCATCCTCATGAAGTTTACAGTTTAGAAGGGAAGAAAGACAATTCAACAGTGGTAACGTGACATGACTCTTATATGCTCCATAACAGGGGTCCATTTAGGAATACCTAATCTAGTCTTGGGGGAATTAGAGGAGGCTTTT